AAGAGAAGCAGACGAGCGTGCAAGAGAAGCAGACGAGCGTGCAAGAGAAGCAGACGAGCGTGTAAGAGAAGCAGACGAGCGTGCAAGAGAAGTAGACGAGCGTGCAAGAGAAGAGCGTGTAAGGTAAGTAGAGCAGCGCACTCTGCGTATGCGGACGTGGAACGCCGACGAACCAGACCTACAACATCATGAAAAGCGCCCACGATCATCTCTCCTATCGACCGATCCCTCACTACTAAGAGCAGCATCACAAGACCCCCAGAATTGGATCTGTTCCTACGTCTGCGCCCATGCACAGACTTTCCCCAAAGCCAACGTCTCTTCGACGCAACGTCCTCCTACCTCCATCCTCCGTCCTTCCAACCTCCACGCGTGCTCAGCCCTGTCATATCCTTAGAAGAGCTGGGTTGACGGATCTGCAGTCGGAAGCTGGCGAGCGAGAAAGATTTGGAAAGCTACGAGCGCTTTGCGGTGGAAGATCACATCAGCAGCATTGTGTCCGAGCTTTCGAAAGTCACGGAAGCTCGCGCAATTCTGGGTCTCGCAGGCGGTGTCGTCTTTGAGCATAAACCCAACTCGCTCAATGATTCGGCCGAGGAAGTGCAAGAGCGCCTTCGCCTGGATCGTTCTGCGTCACGGTCTCAGGGCGCTACGGGAACGAGACTATTATACGCGGATCAGATTCGTGTCTACAGAAAGACTTCCGGAGTCGACCATCTGCTGTTCACCATCGAGGACAAGGCCCCTCACAAGCTCTCGATCCACAATCTTCGAGCCGGGCTCAGCGCGATGAATGTAATGGAAGAGGTTGTCAATCGCGCCACGATTCCCACGGATGTCGGGGATAAACAATAATACAATGCCGATCGGCTTGCAGTGGCGGCGGTAACGCAGGCCTTCTCGCAGATGATCGAGAATGGTTTCGAATACAGCTGTGTGAATACCGGAGAGGCCAGTGTGTTTTTGCAATGAAAGAAGATGAACCACTACGGTGTACTTCCATCTTACCGAGGCAAACGAGGAAACTGAACTGAACGGTTAGCTTGGAGGTCTCTGTCCGCGGACTGCCATCTCGCAGATGTCCAGCTTCTCCCTCATGGCACTGGAATCCGCGCCACGCCGCCAACGCAGGCGAGATGACGCGATCCGACTGCTACCACGGTATGAACTTGACTATGAAGCAGTCCTTCGGCAGATCCCAGAGGAAGAGCGCAAGAAGACCCCATCATCCAGCTTCAAACCCTCACGCTATCATGTCGATCCACGGTCACCATATTTCTTTCGAAGGAGAAGGGGATAGGGTGGCTCTCATTCTGATGAAGCTGCCGCCGAAGAACCAAGGTATCGTTCTTCGGCTGAGTCAGACGGCAACGCTGGGAGGCCTGAGACGCTCACCAAGTCTAGCAGGACCTCAAAGGGGAAAGCACCTGCGCAACGAGCGGGACAGAAAGGAAAGATTGATGCCGGGGCTGCGACAATACTGTACTCAAGCGTGCCTCTTGGGTTTGGTACATCGAACAGGTTTGGATGAGAAGTGTCCAAACGTGGAACTTCATCGGCAATGTGCACAGAACCGACAGCATCCGATCGACAAGCGCACGTTTCGACAGCTGCTCCGGCGTCAGCTCGGAGAGGACTTGGATCATGTTTGTGAGGTAGTGGGAAAGCAATGGGCGAGGGGGGCCCCTTTTCACGTCCACTTGCGCAGGTTCGGGTACACGTTAGTCGGTAAAGGGACGGTCCAAGCGTTTGTGGAAGATCTCCGTCATGAAGGGCGATTGTATGGGCGATTGCAGAGTCTTCAAGAATCCGTCATTCCCGTCCATCTAGGAAACATTACCCTCCCAAAGATGTACTATCTGGATGTTAGGGTTCGGATCCAGCATATGATGATGAAGGCTTGGGTCGGTGAAGAGATGATGGCCGATGGGGAAGACATGCGTTGTCGAATCAACGAGCAGGTACAATCCGCAACGGGAAAACCATCTGCGCTTGGAGCCACGCATAACGACATCCGCGGACCAAACATTCTCTCGAGCCAGAAGTGGAGCGTGCAGTGTTGATCGACTTTGAACGGGCCAGTGTGTGTCTCTCCGCGCAAGCAACACTGTGAGTGCGCTGGACAGCCCGGAACGGTGCTTCGAGAGGTCCATGAATGAACCAGGGACTGGGCCACAACTTGACACTTATGTAAAGCAAGGGAACCATGACAATATTGAAGGATCAGGCTCGCTCGTTGTTCTTACCGTCACCGGATGCCGCAATGTCCCGTGAACTTCAACACAACCGTCTTATCAAGACGGAGTTTTGAGGATCTGGGCTGGCCGATGATGAGCTCATTGGGGTTCGTGTGTTTTAGTTTGTATGTGCACTTGGCCGCCTTGACTGAATCCATGTTTATTCTTGAACGGTGATGGGCCTGACGTGACGATGACAAAGGTAGTCTCTCTCGGTAAATTAACTCTGTTGCACATCATGACCAGAATCATCCTGAGGCTCACCAAAGGCTCACCAGCTTGGTAGGGGGGAGGCCCAAGAGCCACCCCCTGATATCTTCACCCCCATTGTCCTCGCTATATTTGCCGCATTGGCAAGAGGATACACCCTGTCCAACAACGGGTTGTAGTGCCGCAAAATCAGTTCGCAGCCGCTGATGGCAGCATAGACGGTCGCAGAAGATGTTGTTACGTCGTCGGAATCTCGACGATTCCGACGCCCGCCTTTCTCTCTCCGGTCTCACGTGACATTGAGCCTCGCATCCGGTTCAACTTCGGCCCGGGCTCGTCCTGGCCCGCTCACTCCCCCTCTCCTTCACAGTTGTCTTAACAAGATACCAAACGTCTCCGGGGCAACCTTGGTGTGCACGCGAAAGGGTTGAGGGGAATGTCATCTTGCTACGCTGCGACCCAGGCATGGTGTGTGATAGTTACCAGGAGGATCACCAGGAATGAAACATTCCGCCACGCGCTCGGACCCCTCGAAGTTTCACTGGAGCTATAAGTAGCTCACTGAGCGCGTCCCTCGTCCTTTGTCCTCTATCCTTTGTCGTCTTACCTTTTCACCCCATCTCCGAGCCCCCTTTTTGTCTCTTGTCTCTCTCTCTCATCTCTCTCTGTCATCCGTGGGTGAGACTTGTCGTCTGTTGTCTCTCTCTCCTTTTTGAGAATAAGACTTGTCTCTCAACTCTCTCGCGTCCAAGGATAAGACTTGTCTCTTGTCTCTTGTTGACAAGCGAGGCTCGACAGCACCATCTTTTGACCTTCTCTCTTGTCGAAAGGCGAGACTTGAGTCCACCATATCTTCCAGTTTTGTTCAACGTCTCCAAATATGGATCCAGAAGGCAGTGACAACAGGGCAGGCTCGCCTATATCTCAGCGACATGGTCAGAATACCTTTCCACTTTTTTCGATTTCAGCCGTTAACACCTCTCAGCAGTTACACAACAGCCTTCAGCTGGAATTGAACAAGCGCGTATCTTTCTACAGCACCTCTTCAACCCACAATTGAGAGCTAGAGACTTCGACCTCGAGCGGCTCTTTATCTGTAGGATATCTACGCGTGAGTGGTTCAATTTATGTGAGGAGTTCAATCTTGACAACTTGAGGTCTCTTATTCTTCTCCCTTTCTTTTGACGTTGTTTGCTAAATGTTATCTACAGGTGGCCAAGATTTTCATACAACTCCGCCACATCAACTCTGAAAATCTACACTATGGCTTCCTGGGTACACGAAACAATTATCAACTTTTTTCATGAACGCTTTCTTCTTCTCTTCAATCAAACCTATCCCCCATCTCGCCGCAAGAGAATCAAGATTTATACAAATCTTAAGATGGAGGGGTTTGCCAATGAGTATCAGAATTCAGTGAAAACGCCAGATCTCGGAATTTTTATGAGAGACGATACTCAAAATGGACTTAGATGGGCTCTTGAGGTTGGTTTCTCTCAAGAATATGACGATCTTCGAGAAGACCTTCGACTTTGGCTTGTCGGTCAACCAACATGTTCTATGGCGGTTCTTATCAATATTACAGAGAGTCCAAAATATCAATGCCCACTTGATTTTCACTTGGATATCTGTGATAAACTTGATATACCTCAGGATGGGTCTCAGATTATAGAAGGAGATTTCTTTCTTCAGGGAGAATATGGCCCAGTGATGTATAAAGGATGTCAGTGGGTGGGAGAGATCTCCGAAGTCTTTCTAGAGGTTTGGACTCGTGACCCTAGAACTGGGGAACCAAGGCGACGAAGAGGAAGCCGAAGTCGAACGTCTATTGTTCCTCCAACAGACGCATCTCTTCAATTTCAGCTCGCCGACTTTCTCTTTACCGACGAGACTCAAGTGACATCCTTCGATTGGGACGAATTCCGAGAGGAATTAAAGGCCTGCCTTCGATCCCATGCCGTCTCGAGGTGCCGCGAGTGGCTTCGACAATGCAAGATCCGTGCAGGGTTAGTCGGCGACGAATCCTACAGGCCTTTGCGTTGAACAGCCGAGCAGCTTGTAAGGATCTGTCATTTATGTCTGTGTGTCCGGATTTGGCAGTGGATTATATCGAAAATTCCCTCCCGGTGGGGAAATGACAACAATTCGCAAGGGACTAGATAGTGTGGAGACATTGCCTAGAGGTAAATTAGCAAATTATAGGCGGGTACCGGTTACAGGGCCCCTAGACCCGGATATAGGCACACCTGTTGCTCAGGCTGACTGAACACCCATGATCAGTCATCGTGCCGGACTTGCTCAGCTTGAAGCAGCTAAGCTCAGAGCCGCGCTCAGGTCCAAAGATGGAAATGGAAAGTACTCGTGTCGAGATTCCGGTGTCGAATTCCCTGTTTCAGATCCTGTAGGATATTGTCGGACATTCCGGTTTGCAAGGGTTTGCTGTACAGTACAACCATTCAATCCACAACAGCTCATGTCAAAACAACGCTTCGTAGAAGAACCAATTTTAGGAAGAGACAGTAAGTGTGACTTGCAGACTCCCCCAAGTGCTGAGAAAGACGGCCGATGCCACCGACATCTATCTGGAACCTGGTCCACGAATTCAAGAAAAGAACCCCAATGCCTTGTTGCCTAACACCCAATCGTGCTGTCACGCAACTCAAGCGTTCTTTTTCAGCTCTGCCCGTTCCCTCTCGAGGCCAGCAAGCTGATATGTCAGTGCGACATTCTGGTCGTCCCGAAGCTGGAGTGTCCTGTCTAGCCAGGTATTGTTCCCCCTCTACTGCACCAAGAATCCCGTTTGAACAACAGACCGAGCCATTCCATTGGGTATATGCCAGGTCGGTCTGTCGGACTTTTTTTCGTGGCCGACCATCCTTTTCCATGCCCATTTCATGGCCTCTCTTGGTCGTCATTGTGAATTCGGAGTATTGGTCGTGCCAATCTTAATCGGTGTTGAATCGTCTTGGCTGGTTGGCTGTTTGACAGAGTGAAGGGCAAGTTGCTATGTTTCCGGAATTTCTTCCTGCATATTGGTATCAGCTGAGAAGCCAAGTTCGACATGAGAAACGCTCCATTGGCTACATGCGTATTGCCAGGATTCACCGAAGCCGCGCACGTCCGAATCAATACTTCATGTGGCTTCTTGATTCCGAGCACGGGGAGCTCGACGGGTTCATATTCAGCAGGGGTGCAATAGCCAGGCCAAAACCCGGTATGCCAATTGGTCTCAAGATTGGCATAGGCTGGTGCCCTAACCTTGTCAGGAATCTTAGCCGGCCAGAGTGATAGGCTGAGTGACAGAGCTAATACTGCAATAGGTAAGTTAGGCGAGTGACACTTATAGTATCCACCTTGGATAGTTGCCTAGTTTAGACAATCAATCAAACAAGGGCGACTGTTCCAGGAAGTCAGTCTCTTCTCGCATTCCACACGTCGCATTTCGCGGGTCTGTAAAGGCTCCAGCATCCACGTTTGTCCAAGCATCGCGACAACCGACGTTTGCCCGGCTTTGTGTCAGTGAGATATTTTCTGCACCACATTCCGCGTGTTGCAATCCCAACCAACCTCCCTGTCGCCTCCAGGCCCTTAGGGTATCACAAGGCGCAAGTTTGTCCCACCCTGAACGAAAATTGAGAGGACAAAAGCTTGCTCAGGGGCTTTGTCCTAGAAATGTGAGTTTAATACATCATCTGTGCAATATGACTGCGAACGTACTTATTGCTCCACATGGTCGCCCCTTTTGTTTTTGGCACTTTCATTGCCATTGCTAGCGCGCAAAACGCATTCCAGCCAGTGTGGCCGGCTGTGCATTCCAACTCCCATTCCAGTCTTTATCCTCAATTTTTTACTTTCATTCTCATTGCTGCCGCTTGCGGCACATTCCTCCTTCCTCCTGCCTGCCGCACAAAGCACATTCCTCCTGCCTTCCCCACAAAGCAACTCCTGCCTTCCCCACAAAGCACATTCCTCCTGCCTGCCGCACAAATCACATTCCCCTGCCTGCCGCACAAAGCAAATTCCAGTCTTTATCCTCAATACTATGTAAACACATCTACCTCTCACGATGGCTTACTACGATTCCCGCAACGACTTCGAGTCATCTTCCCCATCTCCAAAGCACTGGGACTCACCATTCTCGCACCCAGGAACCTCTGGTGGCACATCGACCACTGCTCGAACCGAACTCTCAGCACTGTCCTACCCCTAGGCAGAAGGACATTCGGTTGAAAGTGGGAAAGATGTCGACACTACCAAGCGCAGCTGAAGAGCAGCCCTACGAGCGAGTCAAGGCATACCTCGAAGATTTCAAACTGTACCGTCAAGGCCAAAAGACCGTCGCTCCCCGGGACTTCGACCAGCTCTTCCGATGCCAGATCTCGCGGGCAGACTGGCGCAAGCTACAAGAAGATCTGCGTATCCACGACGACGATGAGCGTAATCCGTTCAGCCGTTGCAAATTTTCATACCATGCCTCGACGTCGACGCTCATTATCCAATGCAACCCCCCAACGCCGGTACATGAAGTGGCGGTTGAGTTCCTCAATACTTGTTTGAGTGCGGCGGTCAATCCCCTACATGTCACGGTCGCTCAAGGCCGAGGGCAGCAGCTCGATGACGAAGATGCAGATGAGGCAAAAGTTGGAGATCTTACAATTTACCAAGAAACCCCCAAAGGTTTGAAGGCCAGATGGGTTCTTGAAGTTGGATTCTCTGAAACCTACGATGAGCTCCTTGAAGACATACAAACATGGCTGATGGCAAAGCAGGCTGAGGTCGTCTATGGGGTCTTGATGAAAATTACAGAGGAGCCCAAATACCGTTGTCCTTTACTGAACATTCCCTCCGAGGAACTCGAGGCTCGCAGGCTAAAGAGTCGTGGGGATATAACCAGACAAGACTTCGTGATGGAGGGAGAATACGGCCCATCGTCGTACCAGGGCGATCGCTGGGCAGGACAAATCAAAGAGGTCTTCTGGGAAGTCTGGAAACTCAACCCAGAAACGCGAAAGCCAGAGCTCGTTGGTCAACGAGATATTATTGTTCCAAAGACCAACTCCTCGCCCAAGATTCCACTCCACGAGTTTCTGACAACCGAACCAGCCAACGCACAAGTTTCGCCAGACTGGGATGTGTTCCGAGCTCTTTTCAAGCGCAACATTCGAGAGCTGGCCATGCACCGATACAAAGAGTGGAACCGTAGACTTGCAAAGGAAGGTGGAGATGACAGAGGGACAGACCCGGACTTTGCGTGAAGGCTTTCTGCGAGACAATTCGAGCATCCGGCTTGTAGGTCCGTTGCCATTCGGTTGCCAGCTTCGCTGCCATCTCAAACACCAACGAAAACATGGTTGGAAAAAGGAAACCACAAAAACATGGTTGGGAGAGGAAAATCACAAAAACAATCACAAAAACAATCACAAAAACAATAGAGGGAATGGCGTTTGGGTGTTGGGATTCATGGTAGCTGAGGACAGCGACATGTCAAGGATGAGGCAGGTTTGTTGTCACGTGTGGCATCAAACCAGATCGGGACTAGCCTGATACTGCCGCCTCCCTTCGGGTGACTCGAGTCTAAGAGACTCTCTTGTTCTTACTCTCTTAGATAGACAGAATACTCCCAACCAACAAACCCCTGCCATTGCGGCAACCTTACTTTTCCTTTGTTGTGGGCTAGTGTTTAACTCTTTCATTTGTCGTCTTGCAACCATATTCTCTGAGCAGTATGAAAGTCGTTCTTGATGACGTCGACTTGGACTTGCCCTTGCCAGGCACGGCTCCGTTCACATGGGGCCAAGAGTCTACAAAAAGATAAGAAGAACTAGGTGAAGAGATGAGTTGATGGGTATATCCAATCCATTCAGTGACATGTCTTCTCTGCCGTCACAGGCTCTTGCTTGGTCTGGTCACAGAAGCTGCGTCAAGGTGACCGGATCTCCTTCCTTCCAAGCAGTCTCTGGAGACTTAATACGTTGGCAAATTTTGGGCCGGGTGGATCTCGTTCACCAGCTTGTGAGACACTGTCCGTGGGCGAATTATATCTTATCCAGCACGTTGCCCCATCTCTTTGTGCGATCGATCCCTACCATGATGAGGCTACCCTCCTGTTGGATCACGAGTATCAGTCGCAGCTAAGGACCAATCCAACCAAACCACGCTCTTCTTGGCGTCGATTGGCGGACACCCACAAGCCGCCGATGAAATTCTTTCCCGCGGAGCGGACGTGACAACGGTGCATAAGGAGGGGAAATCCTTGCTACACCTGGCGGCAGCCAGCGGGTCCGTCGAGCTGGCCGAATTACTTTTGCACAGGGGGCCAGTGATCTCTGCTGAGGAGGACGATGGAAGCACCGCCTTGCACATTGCGGCCGGGAATGGGGATCAGAAGATTATCTCGCTCCTGCTTCACAACGGCTCTGACCCAGGTTGCGCGGACAAGCTCTGACAACCTCCCCTGCATCGTGCCGTGCTGCTTGGATACGGATACGGAGAAGCGACAAGACTCCTGGTGGCGGGAGGGAGAATGGAGCACAGGAAACAGAATACCAGTCTTCGAAACATCACTCCGCAAGGCGATTGGCGCGATGCGCAATGGATGCAGGATTAGGCTTCGAAGAGATCCGTTTCAGGGCGCTGGTCTCCCAGCGTACAATTGGCGGAGACAAGCGGCAACGAAGCCTTCTATCTGCTGACCGATGAACACGCCCTACCCTAAAATATATGCACTTTGTATCTACCATCGAGACTACGATTACGCACTCTACTGTCCACAGACTCTCTGTGCCGCATCGCAAGAGATGGGAAAACACGTACCACCCCTCGGCATCCCGGCGATTCGACCATTCCACCCATCAAGGCAAGGCATACCTCAAGCTGACCACACATGCGCAACGGCCTCCAGACGGACAAAGAGCACTCCTTGTGACACACAGGGACAACGTCCAGACTTAGACTGTACCATTTGATTCTCGTACACACTCTGACTGGTTTCGATTTTGTGGTCTGCGCACCCATCCTTAAAGCGTTGCCGTCTCTCGCTCGGCAGGTAATCTGATTGACCAAGCACTGCGTCTCCTCTTCGATCTATCTTGAATACCTCTCCAACCTGGAGAGCAAACGACCTCCCGACCGTCTACTGGACTGTGCGGCCGGGGAGAGGTTGGAGCGCCTTGAACCCAGGGAAAAGCACGTTGCCGTGCTGCTTCCTTGACACCAGTTTATTCACATCTAGTCAGGGCACCGATTTCCGTCAGCCTCTCCACAGAACTAGGCTCATGATGCCACTATTATCACGGCCCTGTGCTCAAAACTAAGGAAGCTGCTTATATGACCGGCCGACTTTGATCGCGTGAAATACACCTTCGAGATACATATAGAACTGCCAGTGTTGCATAGCGAATTCGCACCCCGCCGGTGCGAAGCGATTAGATTACGGACACGATGAAAAGTATATCGGAACCCAGAATGTAGGCCTTCTCGAAGCTAATGCGAACTCTTTGGCGCCTAACGCGGGCTGGTTTCCTCCCTACTGGGAATATACATGCGCTTGCCAGGTCAATGTGAGTAACTTGTTCTGGAGGGATTGTGTTGATAAGTTCCTAGAGCCATGGCCAAAGACTTTGCAAATGGAACAAGTCCGACAGAGATGGTGGGGAGCGTTTTGAATGCGGGTGACGACGATGTTCGTGAATGTGTTGGTGAGCTTCTGTTTTCTACGCAACAAGTTCTGAGCCTTCATTCAGATCATATGTTGGGACCTTCATTGAGTCGCCTTTTCCAGGCTCTACTTCGCACCACCCTGGAATCGCCGGAAGGGGAGAAACTGAAGGAGTCTGGGCGCCTCTGCCGTCGAATATAACCAAAGATACTGTGAGCGAGTGGGGTGAGTACGCCAACATTCAAAGAAGATGCACTGACTCTGGCATCGGACAACGCATTCACAGACGGCTCACCTTTGGAGGCTGTCGACCACTACTCGACTATCCCGGCCGCGATGAGGTCCACGGGGCCGGACTCGGCACCCAAGGCAGAGAACGGCACCAGCGGTACCACCACGCCTGACTGTCGACGATGACAGCCGCATTGAATCTGCGACCACCGAGAGTGTCCAGATGCATCCCGACACCACGCCGGATGAGTCTATGATCCTGTCGAGCCATGGTAACGACGATGACGAGGAATCGGCCGCCGCTTTTTTTTGTCGATCAGGCACAGTATGCGTGCACAGTGTTCAAGAAGAGCTGAGACGAAGTCCTCGCAGCCGGTATTTATGATCAACGGGCGCACCCCCTGAAACCGATCGACGTCAAGTTCAGTTTGGTGCAGACGGCCTCGATGGCGGACTTGATCAAGGCGTTTGAGCGGATGGGCGGAAAACACTTGTCCTAGCCGCCGGGGTTCGGGAAGAGCAAGACGTCGCTGGCGGTCTGGACCCTCTTGGTGCTCATACGGCTCTGTCGAGAGGACACGAGGAAGCATCCGTAGAAGCACTGCAAGGCAGATGATCTAGATGGAATAGAATGCCCATCTTCCGAATACCCCTTTCGGTGCTGCTGCGAGCTGAGACGAGAAACGGGGAGATGGTGCGGCCTCAGAGAGGGAACCAGTCTTCTCTTCGTCCCACCGCGCATCCTAGGGTAGTGGTGGAAAGCATTTAAGAAGGCCACGAGTGAAAACAATGTCCTCTTCAAGGACTTCAAATTGAAGGCGTATATCCAGCACTGCGATTATCAGAAGCTAGAAGATCAGTGCCATTAAAACGTGGTGAGCTAATCCTGGCTGGAAGAGAATGGAGATCCACAACTTGGGGCTGAGCTCGCGCACCGAGACGCTTTGCAGGTTCTCATTTTGACGTTGACAGAGTCCTACAGCACCTAAGCTCACAAATATTTCCACGAAGGGTATACACATGCCCTGGTGACGGTGGATGGGTGCCATGAGTCAATAAGACCGCACACGCGGACCTTCAGGCCAAATTGAGGGAATGAATAGGCACCTGCTCGAGGACGGAGATTGGTGGCCACAAGCGTTCTACCCCGGGATCATTTGGTGCTCGGTGACACCGTGGAAAGGGACACCGGGTGATCTGAAAGCAACCATGGGTGTCTGGATGAAAATGCACAAGGACAAATGGAAGGGGGTTGTGGGGCTCGAGGAATGGACGGTGTTCGACGACAATGGGAAGCTGCCCAGGCTCGCGGAGTTGAACGCGATCTGGGAACCGTTGCAGGAGAAGAAGAAGGGCATGAATAAGGCAGAGACCGGTCAAGCCCCCAAGGACGACATGGCGCTCCCAACCAAGAAGGTCGGCAATACCATATTCAAAATGAGCCGCGTTTTAATCTGTGGCGGCAATCAAGACTTACGGCTCCACAGTCAGCCTTTGATCCTATTGCCGGAGCTCTGCAATTGGTGGGCCGAGATTCGTATCGCGAAATCTGCCGATATGCAGCGCGAGATCGAAGCACCCAAAAGGGATGTTGGGCCGAGAGAGGCGAGCAGAAGAGAAGAGCCTGACAGAAAGGGCTGCCGACTCCACCGCTCTCCCCGTCGTACCGCTTGAACAATCTAGCTGTGAGGCCTATCCCACCTTGATCAGAGTCAAATAGCGGTATAGGCATGTCCCAAGAGCTACCGGCGAGGGAGCTGAGTGGTCGTCAGTTAGAGTGCTTGCCAGAGGTGTTGTGTGCCTTGAAGAAGACGACAGGGACTACGGGGCGCGGTCTTCCGAGACTGAAAGGGGAATTTTGCAGGACGGATTGGTCCTCCCCAAAGCGGCAAAGAAGCATCAAGCAATACAAGCCTAACCCAGCCCCAGACGCTGGAATGGAAGTCGGGAATTTCTCGATCGATGGGGGCAGCTTTCGAGTATGCGAAAGCCATGAAGAGAGAGGATAAAACGGAGTTTGAACGAATGCGACGTGTGGCTCCGTGAGACTTGTGTGAAAAAGATTTTCCAGTCAGTGGTGGATTTATATCATCGTATTCTCGTATATTCTGGCCTTTATTCGGCCCAAACTCCCAGATACCGTAGCGAAATCCCCTAGATCACTCCATCCTTATCTGAAAAATCCCCGACTGCTCGTCCTCAGCATCATCATCCAAAACCAGGTAATCTCTTCCGGGAAAGAAAGAAAGGGTGCTTTTCGCCTCGAGGCGCAATTGAAGTCCCCGTCTGCGAGCCGCTACCGCCAGCGCCCTTAGCGCCGCCCTTTCTTGCTCCATGTCGATTTGGTTGTTCAGCCATTCAAGAGATAGTGTCGTGAGCATCGGTGCTAGCATTTCGTTGGTGATGAAAGATAGTACCGCCGACCAGACGTGCTCAAGTGGCCCGGATTTGTTCATGAGGTAGAGAGTCAGCTCGCGGACCTTTGGCAATGGAAGAAGACCATTTCCTGAATGTGTATCGGAGGAACGTGTATCTCCGGCTGGTGGTGTTAGGATCATTGTTGAAGGGATCTTGAGCCTCGTCAAGTTGACGAATCGCGCCATCTCGACCCGTCTCGGGCGTGTCGACACATTCCACGACAAAAGGTCAAGTTCTTCGAGAGAGTCGCTGCAGGAATTTGCAAGCAATCCGAGAATGGCGTACTCGGCGCCTTCGTCATCCCCAAAGCGTCGGAGTATTCGGAGAGTTTGAAGATGACGGCAAGCTCCGAGCAGCGCCAAAATGTCTCCGACGTCTTCAAAAGCCCAGCGAAGATCCAGAGATCGGAGCTGGGAGACGAGAGACATGTCCATGGCACCTCCACCCACAATTCTGGCCACCTTGAAAGTTCTCAAGGACGGCAGGCGGAGAAAAGGAAGTAGCTCCACCTCATCACCAACGCTCATTTCGATCGTCGATAGAGAGCGAAAGAGATTGAGATCGGTTCCGTTCGTGACAGCAAATTCAAACAGGTCTCCAAGGTAGAGGACTGGTGCATTCACCACCAATTTGATCTCTCTCAAGCAAGGGAGCTGTAGGGCTAGAAAGGCAAGCCAGAGACCTTCGTCGTCATGGGAAAGCAGGGCAGCTGTCAGTTCTGCATCCGTCAAGGCGAGAAATTCAGAGAACCGCGCACTAGTATCACTGAAGAGTAAAGGGCTGCAACTCTCGATAAGTTCGCTTCCAACATGAAAATCTTCCCGGTAAGGCAAAATAGGGTAGTCGTAGGCGGTAATGCTGACCGAGTGGATGTAACGTGCCAGATCGTGTTGGTAGCATAGCGATCGGAAGAAGAGCCCTATATCTGGCATCTCAGCGAGACGTACATTGCGATAAAGTTCAGGTGTAGTGAGGCGATGAAGCTGTCTATTACAAAGTGAGAGGTTGCGCATGGTCTGCTGGCTTTCAGTTGCAACAAGTTTGACTATTTCAAGCAAGACCTCTTCAGGGAGACTTTCGCTGTTCGTAGTGGCCCGCATGGCTCGCAGATGGAATCGAAACCCCGACAAAAAGAGAAACAACTTCGCGGGACATTAAAATCAACGAAAGGAAAGGCTGTTATCATCAGCCATATTTATTATATCTATTCGAGCGGTTTCCGGTTGTGGTCCGTGGTCGTGAGGACCTTCGTTGAAACACAAGAGGACCACCAAACAATTCAGCCTTTGGCTCTCCCAAACTCTACAGCTCCACGATGGCTGATCTGGAGGCAAACCACTCGAACCATCCAAGACAAACTGAACAATGTCAGGAAGCTAGTCCAGAGTTTCGCCCCTCCCAAAGGTCGCAAAACCCAAGAATCGCAAAGGCAGCAGCCAACGGTCGACTTGATAACGACGTTAATCACGCTTGTAACGCAATCTTCAGCGGCTGTGAAAGACGTCAAGGCAGACTTCTCGCAGCGCTCCGTTCGGGACAATGGTCAGGATCAGGTTTCTGAGGCTGATACCCTCAACCACGCTCTTGAAGCTCAAAAAAAAAAGAGAAAAAAAAAAAAAGGGAGCAAAAAAAAAAAGAAAAGAAAAGAAAACTGGTCCGGAAAGGGCAGACAGCAACTCAAAAAGCGGCGCCTGGACGAACTCAGTCATCATACCAAGCAGCCCAGTGGCGGCTGGAAACCTTGATTCCAGAGTCCAGTGGTCCATACAGGCTGTCAAGCGTCGACAGTTCCAACCCAGAGGTCGCCTTGGAGGATGTCGTTCCAAAGGTTCAGAATGGACAATCTCCACCGGATCTCGTGAGTCGGCCGTCGATCCGCGACGCACACCCTCAATTATGGCGCCTTGCTAACAGTCGGACGTGGTGGTGCCAGAAAACGACAAGACTGCGGCATCCGAGTCTTTGCGGTATTCACTCCCGACACCGGTACCATGTCCGGAAGGGAAGGTCCCCTCTTTACGCTATCGATTGAGCAGACGAAGGAAGATATCGTACATACATGCCAGGCGACTGGCTGCCGACGAAAGCTTTCCAGGCATAATATCAGTGGAGAAACCGGCCATAGATCGATTGCACCGATTTTCTGGGATCGGTTCGGCAGCCAGACCTCAACCGTGAACTTTGTGGTGTCGAATACTCCCCTCTCGATGTTTCTGGCGCCATCGGGTTAAGGGCTTCCAAGCAGAGGAAGTCCAGATTTCCAGACCTCTCGCAAACGCCGAAGAAGCCCTAGGAAGAGGAGTGCGAGAAGTATGTTCGCCAATTGTTCGACGGTCCTCCCAATGAGCCAATTCAGCACCTAAGTAGGAACCTCGCTCGCCACCGAAACGCCTCTGTCAAAACTTGACTCTTTATTTCATCCAGGATCATTATCGCAGTTTCAGTTGATCTGCGGCGCGAACCAACCCCACTGGCAACCCGGGTGGCAAGGCTCTGGGACGGGGATTCCACATTGAAGATGCCACGAAGTCGAGGTCTTTCAACATTGTCTCTTGGGGCTGGAAGCTCTGGGCCCTCATTTGGACAAGTCACACCGCCGAATTTTGCAGCATTTGTCAAGAGAAAACTGTCATTGTAACGACTGTCATCAATTCGTTCGACATCAAAACCTATTCATCGGCCCAGACACCCTGGGAATGAGGGTATTGGCTTCGATCTCATCTGCGTTGGCCCTGGGGAGATGATTGTCAACAAACCAGGGCAGTACCATGCGGTCGTCAACGTCACGGATTGCAGCGCGATGTCGCTCGACCTCTGCCTCCCACCGATCCAATTTCCCCACCAACTGTGAGTATGTAAAGAATATGGACTCTACCCGTTGAAGCGCAAGGAATTTATCCATGTGGCCTTCATGAACGACGTGCCCATTCCACCAAAAGAGCAGCTAATGCGAGAAAACGACCCAGAACAGAGGAGGACATACAAGTCCCGAAAGGAACAAAGAGAATCGTGGCTGATAAGATTCGCGCTTCCAAGGAGCTCCAACAAGTCGCACGTGAAATGCGCAACATCGACAAGCTGCACGGACACCCTTCCCGTGAGCACGGAGCGAAGCCGACCGTCTTCAGGCTGGCGGTGGCAATCAGGAGCCTCTTAGCATTTATTCAGTTTCGCGACTTCGTTTAAGCACAAGAGAACTAGGCACCAGCACGCTTCCATCAGACATCAGCGAGGAGCGATCTTTGCGCCTGGCAGAACGGATTCGCCTGATCGACACATCGGGGTGGAAGTCCTTACTCGAGAAGTTCCTTGTTCGGACTCACCAGATCCTCCTCGCTAAGGATCTGACCCCTGAAGATGGCCGACGAGAGCGGACAGAGCAGTAACTCACGAGGCCCTAGCAGACAGGCTCGGCAATGTTCAACCAGTACTGGACGCAATTTGAATCTTGCAAATGTTGTCCATTCCAGATCCTATATGAGTCATGCCTGGCGGGTACGGCGTGGCGGACGAGATCCGTCAGCAGTGTGTTTTCTCGAGGTGCCAGGGTGAGACCGTTAGAGTACAACAATGACAGCTCTTTGCAGGTCTGAAAGATTGTCCGAACTCGCGATTTTTCGACGACCTTCTCTAATCCGTGATGATTGTCATGATGTGCGGTTGAATCTCATCTGTGGTGGCAGTAACCGTATGAAGTCCTCCAACTGACATGCTCTTGTCCTGAGGGATGGAGGCACATGATTCTACCAAAGAGGAAGGATTCTGAAAGACGTTGAAAGCAGCGGAGCCTAGGCGGCGGCGAACGCCTCTACAATGACAAACTCTGAGAAAAGCGGGACGATGGAAAAACATTTCGTCACCTTCTGTGGGACGGTAGCCTTTTCATGAAGCCTTCATCTCCACCGTCGGCCAGAGGCTTCCTGCAAGAGCGTGACTGGTTTTCGTTCCAGGTTGCTGCTTGGTTAAAGCTTCCACGGCAGGTTTGTGGTCTCAAGGCAGAGCTCCTGGGCTCTGGTATCGAGATAGCTGGTTGTGGTTGCCGCTGTTTCTGTTTCCAGGTTGATTCCACGACGAAAACCCAGCTCGAGAGCGATGTCGGGTGCTCAAAGAAACCTCAAACGCCGATTATCATGGTCGTATGAGGAGGCATTCAGAGGCTATCGAAAACTTACTGGCAAAACACCCCCTTTGGTGCTGACTTCCAGTTTACCAGGTCCGTGAAAGCATCATGAGTCGAATGATTTGGACTGCGAGCTCTGTGAAATTGAGTCATGAGAACCCTCCCGTCGATGTTCAAGAAGATATTGACATCATGAGCATTTCAACCGCGAGCCCCCTGGACAGCCGCAGCGAAAGCACCGAGTAGCCCCTCGTCAGTCTCAACTCTCTCCCCAGTAACCACTCCAGTCCTTCCAACATCAACGGCCGGCGTAAACAGATCTTCCGAAGACTCGTGGCACGGCCTGTTTTGTCAGCCCTCTGACCGGTTCACAATCAATAGCATGTCGCCGGCGCCGCACAGACGAAGGAGTACTTCGCCCGACAATGAACACTTTATTTCAACAGCCCATCTTTCTGGCAGAGGCTTACCTCTGTCAACCCCGAGGGAACTCGCCCGTCGGTCAAACGACCAAAATGGACGGTACAGCCAAGAGCGCAACTTCAGTCAGCAGCGCCGGGGTATTATAGCAAAGTCAAGTAAGGCCACCAGCAAAGGAGTGAGGGTATATATAGTGATGGAGGTCAGAGGGGGTGTGGCAAGAATTAGTTTAGAGAAAATAAACAAACCTGTGCTAGGAACGACCGGTGATTGCTTCAAGGGGCTTGAAATTTTTAGTCCGCGCTGTCTACCCAGGAGGTTCCATCGTCCAGAGGGAGCAAGGAAAGACACTTCCAATGGAGTTGATGCACAAGTACGCAGTCAAGGGCGTCGGCGAACTAATCCAGAAGACTCAACACCATATCGATGTTGGGACGTGATCCAGGAACACATCTTCTCCTCCAACACCTCCGCCGAGGGGATCTCAAATTCTGGCCATCGCTTCCGGGCGCGCACGAATTCCAACATCTTCTCCACCTGCTCATGATACCAGCACTCCGGACACTGAAGCGAGTAGTTCTCATTCCAGCGTAGCACTCTATTATCCGAGTTTTCGTCCAGCCAAGGCATCCATGTTGCCCTCATCTCATCGCGAAAAGGCAAGTGTTGCAGCTTTTTGGTCCAGTAACTCTTCTTCCGCGGCCGCCAACGAAGGCAGTCGAGGCAGTTCAGCCAAGTCTTCTTCACACGTCCAGCTTTGTTCAAGGGTCGCACGACCTTGAGCAGTTTCTCCATCGTCTGAAGGTCGGGGCATTCGCGACGCGACACCTTCAAGGAGACAATCGTGCTGACGTGAAGAAGATGTTTGCAAGTGATGGCGAATGCGATTTGATCGGGCAGGCGGCAGAGCCGAAATATCTCGAGGAGGAGTTCGTGGGGTAAGCGAAAGAGGGGTGAAGACTGGTTGTCAGGCGATGTAAGGACCTGTTTGATATGCCATTAGTCCTAGAATCGAGTCTCATGGGATCAGCTCACATTTTGTGAAATAATGAAGGGTTTCCAAAGACCACCGGGAGGCATGATGGCGTGTCTTGGGTGGCAAGCGGGTAGAGAGGCAGGTCTAGTGACACCTGAAGTGGTGTTTGAGCATACGGTACGCGTCGAACCAAGCGTGTTGATTGATTGATTGTCTGGGGAAACTAGCGACTATCGGAGGTGGAGAAAATCAGGCTGGCAACAAACAAGTGCGGCAGAGTCACTCGTCTAACCTGCCGGATGCAGGATGAGGTCTGCCACTCGACCGGCTAACTTTCCTGATACTGTTAGGGCAGCCAGACGCCATCTCACGTGACTCCAGGTTGCCTTGGTACCCGCCGAGCCACCAACACCCAGGCTAAGCCGCAACGAGAACTAATAACAAGGACGTCCACGAGTTGCACTACTCGCTCCTCTCTCAGACTCATGGGCACGAGCCGCTAAGTCCGGTGTTGTAGTCACCACCATTGATGAACTCTGCGAATCTGGTAAACGCATCCGAGTCCACGTTGCTTCCACGTTGGTTAGGCGTGCCCGATTCTCTTGCGACTCTTTCCTTTGACTGTGCATCATTGCATGAAAGACGGGAGAGTTTCGGAACACCAGCTCCGAGGGCAAGGCAAACGCACCAGCCACTTCTGAAATCTCGAACTGGAACGTTCCTCCAGTGAAGTCTCTAAAGATATCGTCAGGTGTTGAATCAATTTCATGGTAGAGTCCGTCGTTATTTTGTGCTCTTGTTTGGCATCGTGCCCGAACAGAGGTGACTAACACAGAGAAACAGAATTGAAGAGCCGAAAGATTCGGCTTGGTTCTGGCTGTCCCTCCCCTCAGAGAGCTGGCCCCCTAGAAACTTTGACAGTTAGGGCGACATGCCTCGCAAAGGCATTCCCCCTTCTTCATGAAACCCTTGCCACAGAAGGCCGTTATCTCCTCGCCGTGTTGAATGTCTCTGGCCGCTTTGACCATCACCCTATACCTCCCCGAGACTTTCATGACCACGAACTCGGCAGCAGGGCTACTGCTCAGGCACCCATGGTTAAGAAGCCTCAAAAAATTCCCTTGCTTTCCACAGTAAAGCTGACACACAAAGCTATCCGTGTCTGGTCTCTTAAGCTCGAAACACCACTCGGTAAATGTTCCGGGAGGGACTAGCTCCCCAGTAAGCTCGCCAATGTACTCACCTCGCCGATAGGATCCCACTGCCTGGAGCCCTCGCCCTTTGCCGTCGTAAAGCTTAATTCGAGGCATAGGTCTTGGAGGAAGGCTGATGCAGCCACATTCCGTAGTCGTACGGCACATGTCGCATTGGATCTCCTCAGGAGGTATCCATGTTGGGTCACAGGGCCACACCCAGTCCTCAGACCATTCCTCGGGCCTAGACCACTTGGGGTACTCTCCGGGGTGATATACATTGCTGTCAATTGTCGGAAACGGCAACAGATCCTCCTCAGAAATCTTTTCAAACGCAATCCCTTTCGCTTCCCAAGTGAACTCCCTATCCGCTACCTGTCTCTGGAGCGTCTCTTGGAAAACCCTCCCAGCCTCGCACATCTTGGTGATATAGTCGTTCTTGAGAAGACGATGAAACATTTGGAGGCTGGCACCCTCAAGGTCAAGATAATGGCTCGCTGTCAGCTTGAACGGGTTTTGCCCTAGGAAAATAAAGCCTAAGAGGCCGCTGTAGTCATCGCCGCAGAGTCCCATCCACTTCCTTCCCTGTTGAAGATGATAACGAAACGTGGTTATCTTCCAGCCTGTTTGTTTTAGGGCGGTAGTGATCGCTGCCGGGTCCACCCTCTGCCTTCCGCATTTAGGTACCAGCTCTTCAGCAAGGAGAGCCTGGTAAGTCCTCACAGAGAATTTCTCGAGTATGGATTTCTCTGTCGAGTTCTTGATGGACTGGATATATTGCGCCAAGCGTGAAGACAGATCCTGACCGACCTCAAATGCAATAGCGTTTCGATTTCTTCTGCTGCTTACGAGACTGCAGAACTGAGCCCGCGCGGTACGGCTCATGACGGCTGCGGCGAGCTTGAGAACAATATTCGTTACTCCAGGCTCCAAGCAAGGGGATTGATATATCTTATCGACTTGGCGTAGATCGTAGAGTGTTCGTTCTAGCTCTTTCGGACTCGGTGCCCAAATCGCAATCCTCTTTCTTCCATGGCTGGGCTCTAGATCTTGCCCTCTCTGTCGTTTCTTAGATGAGGCGGACTTTGGGTCTGCCGTAAGCGCGAGACCTTTACATGCGCCTTCCAGATTTCTGTCCGTTGTGAGGTTGACGGTCATACCTTCACCGATCCAAGGCACCAACGAACTGCGCATAAATTGATGTCCTCCAGATCTCACTGAGCTTTTAGCATGTCGCGAATCGGTATTCATAATGCCACTCTCTTCCGTGCCGTCAGCTTCTTCAGGATCGTCAGCATCGTCTGCCTCTTGGAGGTCGGTGCTATCAGTGTCTTCGGGATCGCTGGTATCGCCGGGATCATTGGTATCGTTGGTATCGTCCATATCCTCTTCGATCTGTGGCTCACCCGGAGCTCTGAACTCCAAGTGTGCCTTGGTAACAGGAAAGCCAGGGCAGGTTGTTTCGCATGCATGATAGCCGTCCATATTCCAGTCGTTGTAGCCATAATTGACCGCTTCAGCTGTGCCGGAGCCATCGGTGCCGCCTTGGTGATAAGCACCATCCCATGTCACGACGCCCTCACCCGGTCGTTGGATGAAGTTAACAAAACGGGCACCCATACGTTGGAGCTTTGCTCTAGGAATCCAACGAGATGCGTGTCGTACTCGCTGTGCACATGTCCACTTCTTCGCTTCCTTTTCGATGATATGGCCATCTTTTGGAGCTACCACGTACCACAGCCTTTCAGCCCCGCTGAGGTGCATGTTCACCGATATTAGATTTCCATCGTCACTGTGTATTGCAAACAGTGCCCCGTGGCAGCCCGAGAGGTATGCGTAGGGCCAATGGATTCCTGGGACAGTATACCTTGTTCGATCTAATTGGTTGCCCTTCAAGGGGTAAATAGCTGACTTTGCAGGTAAACCTAACTGTTGCCGTTGTCGAGTAGTTCGGGCTGGGATGTCGGTCGCATATCGCATTTTCTTCAGAGCGTTGGGGTCGGCAACCAGACCCTCCAAGATCTCGGCGAGTTCGTCTGGCTTTCTAGGTGTGCAACTGTTGTCACTCAGCTCGAGCGTCTCCAAGTCCGTCGATTCGGTGCGTGAGATGTGAAGTATTCCTTTTGGAGTGAGACGCGACGAGAATCGAGATACACGAGTCTTGACCGTGTGGTTGGTCAATGCGGCGGATTCGAAATCGCCAGGCAACACGTATTTGAAGACGCCAGTTTCGCGCGTACCTAGCGCCTCCGCCTGAGAGAGGAGAAACGGCATATCGTGGCATTGGGCCATATTTGACGGCAGCAAAACGATAATGCCGCCCTCCTTTCGGTAAGGTATCGTGACAACCGGATTTCGAGGATTTTCCTGATGGTCTTGTGCGGCCTTGTCAGGCTGTGACGGGCGTGAGGCAGGAGCATGTTGTTGCTGTTGCGAGACTGACACACGCACCGCATCATCGAGCGGTACGACGTTGGCGGGAAGAGCCGCGTTCGAAGCACGAGCCTCAATCAGGGCAGAAGCAGACCCTACCCGGTCCTCGTCAATAGCAGGCCTATTCAGAGGCACTTCAGCAATCGGCGGAGTGGCGGCGCTGTCGGTAGGGGTTTCGAGGATAAGGTCACCACAACTTTGAACAGCTTCTGAAGGAGCCGCAGAGTCAAGGTCAAGCTGTCGGTTTTCGTCTGCCGGTTGAGCTGGCCTCTGTGACAAGTATTGTGGAGGGAAATTTTGAGGGCGGATGCTAGGTAGATCGTGGTGGAAATATGCGTGAATGTCTTGTTCGAATGCCTGGAAGTTTGACGCAAACTGATTGTGCGAACCAAGAATCTCTCCGAAGAGGCGTGATTGTGGGCGTGGAAGTAGGAGCCTCCTCAACAAATTGTCGAATTCCTTCAACTCTACTCCAAGTCTCTTCACTTGTTCTAGCAAATCAGCCATTGGGGACACACAGGCGACTTCTTTGGGTTTCGAGGGCATGCGGAGGACAAGCTTGGGTTTGACCGCTAGAGTCGTCGAGTCGTCTTGCGATGGCACTCGTGACTCGTGCACGGGCCACAGTGATAGCGACTCTCATTGTGGTCCGTGCGTCTTGTGCAAGGGTCGCCTCGGCAACGAGCCCGCCAACCCGCCTCAACGCAAAGATTGGGGAAATCCTCTCACATCGCGCGCGACAAAGTAAGTGAAGCGGATGGGTCAGTTCTGTTGACTGACCAGGGGGCAATCTTTTCTTTGGATTTCTGACCGATCGACTTTGTGCCAGCTGCGCGGATTGATGCCTGCGCCATTTGGCGCCATTTGTCTTGGCATTGGCACTGGCCCTGGCATTTGTTAGGCATGCCTGGAAGGTAAAGTTAGTTAAGAGCCTCAAGTAAATTTAGTTAAAGGTTTAGTTAAAGGGACCCTCAAGTGCATTGCCAAGAAAAAGGCCCCCCACGCGCGGAAGAGGACATAGGGACCCGGCAGGCACCCCCGCAACCTTTGCAGCTCCCCCTGAACCCCTCAGCAATACTTGGCACGGAGGCTGTTTCCTTGAGAACACTGGGAGCTGCAGCTCAGACACACTCACTACCGCCCATACAATGATCCGACATGATTCTCACGCAGTGATCACACCCTCGTCCGACTGCGCTTCAACCGATATCGTCCTGCTATCTCGAAATCGATCGTGCACGAAATCATCATCCCTACAAACCTTGCCATCTACCTCGTCATGGAATCGGAGTGCAATCAATACTCGACTGGAGTTAACAAGAAGGATGTTCAGCACAAAGACACTGGAAAATTGGCCATCCACAACACGAGGTACCGCCGCTGGCTGTCCCTACTTGCATTGAAAACCACGGCAAGATTTTACACATCGATGGGCTCCTGTGTCCCAATCACAAGAAATAAGATAGTCAAGACCGGTCCATACGTTCACCTGACTGAAGCCGCAACTATCGAATTTATCGCCCAGAATACCTCTATCCCAGTGCCTAGGATATACTGCTCTTTTGTCCATAAGAATCGTGCTTATATTGTCATGAGAAGGATTCGAGGCAAGGACATACCAACAGCATGGCAGAAATTGTCGGAACAGTCTCGCCAGAGAGTCTTTGATCAATTGAGGAGTATGATACAAGAGATGCGCTTACTACAGCCGCCGCCGGGGACGGGGGTTGAGAGCTGCGTTGGCGGTTCATTGCGCGACTCTCGAATCCCTCGCTCGAATCCCCGTTTTGGTCCGTTCAAAACGATCCAAGAGTTCCACCTTTGGCTGAGAGAGGGGTTTCAGCCATCCCGAATCGAAGGTCGAGAAAGCGACTCAGACTGGCAGGACATTCGAGATATGGCAGCCGCCCAGGACAAGTCATGGCCACCCCCAGTTTTTACACATGCTGATTTGAATCCATTCAATATTCTCATCAGTGGAGATCAAGTTGTCGGCCTAGTGGACTGGGAATTAGCCGGATGGTACCCAAATTATTGGGAGTATACCTCCGCGTGGCTTGGTAATATAACGAGAACAGAATGGCAGAATGCTATTGACAAGCTCCTTGAACCGTTTCCTGAGGAGCTGAAGATGGAGACTATCCGTCAAAAATGGTGGGTTGAATTCTAAATGAGTATAATATATATTCACTGTACTATATGTATGTTTAATTTCAGGTCCAAGTCCTTCAACTCATTTAAAGCTCGCCTTCTTAAAATCTCTAAGCCACCACCTCTTTGTTCTCCAATAAATCCCAGGTCGGCTTCGGTCGCAGTAGTAGCGCCAAATCGTCAAAGCGCCCCTGACTGGTTTTCTCTCCAACATAACGTCTTGCTGTCTCTTCAATCCGCCGCCAATCGAGCACTGAAGTTCCTAGGGGCCTGGCCATCTTTGGCGAGAGCTGAGCTCAGAGGGCGTCAGCGCACCAGCTGCGGCATCTCCACCCCAGATCATTTGTGAACCACAGGGACATTTCGAAGCGTTTGGAGAAGACGTTCCACGTTGGTAATTTTCCCAATCACAACGCGGACGAGGAGGTTGTTGGTGCTTTGAACGTTTTGTAGTTCGATCTCTTCGTATTTTCCACAGTGTTCTTGGCCCATTCGGATTGGGGTTTGGCTGGTTCTTGACATGGCAACGTCGGCCTGGGACTTGAGTACCTAGGTACGGTAGTGAAGGCTCTCGTTGATTGTCCCCCAAAGGCGCCCGGAACTGGGCGCTTGCGGGAACATCCAGGGGCACCCAGGGGCACCTTGGGGGTACCGCTCCAGCCGCTCCAGGTACTCAGTACCTAAGCATCCCTGGTTCGCGCTGCTCCAACTGCGCACTTCCAGGGAGGATGAATCCGGCGGGAAGGGGGTAGATCACCAGATTTTAGCCGGAGCGAACCTGGACGAAGCTATTCGATCATCGGATACAACAATGCAGAGGGCAGCACCAACAGAAGTAGAGTCGACGCTCTGCACCGCTGGACATCAACGCAAACATCGCTGTCTGCATTTTCACCAATTCTTCCTGCCGGGACGGAAGCGAGTATTTTGGATGAAAGACTCTGACTCGCACCTGTCGAGGTCGGCATCCCCATATTCCCTGCAATCCGCTGTTCAAACACCCCAAATGCACTGTGCGAAGCACTCTCAGCGATCGCTACCTTACGAGAGAGACCCTTCTCGACCGATCAATGACACTTTGTTCCAACGTGCACGCCTCTTCCTCCTGCGCAGTATCCCGAATAGATGGACACGTTCTCCAGCGCCGAGAGTCCGTCTATTACCGTTCAACCTTGTGCTAAAGTCTGGTCGGCATGTTTCCCTCTCAGAAGCGCATACGTTGGAGTTTGTGTCACGGAATACGCAGATTCCCGTTCCTCGGGTCATTACGGCTTTTGAATCAAAAACTGGATACCGATACATTCTCATGACTCGAATTCCCGGCGTTCCTCTAACCGGTGCATTCCACGAATTGTCTGAAGAGAGACAGCGTGAAATTCTGCGTCAGCTGGAAAACTACATCTGTGCACTTCGATGACACACTCCTCCAGAGCCTGGCTACGTTGGTTCAGTCGACCTTACCCCACCTCATGATGAACGTGTCCATTATGGACCCTTTGGCCCTTTTGATAGCGTCCCAGCGTTTCATAAGGCACTGCGTGGAGGTATTGAAGAGAAGAGTGGTCACGCGGAACTGGATAACATGATTGAGATGGAGAAAAGCCGCGATTACTCTTGTTGCATGACACACGGGGATCTGTCACTCCGAAACATTCTCATCCAGGGTGACAAAATTACTGGCATTGTTGACTGGGAAACTGCTGGATGGTATCCGCATTATTGGGAATATGCCAGTGCGTTCAATTCATTCTTTGACGCTATTGACCTGAGGCTGAGGATCGATGAGACTTGGACGCATATCCAGAGAAGAGAGAGACGGAGCAGATACGACGACGGCTGTTCAACATGATGTGACTGAACTACCAGTGACCGTTTCAGATGACCCAGCATGGAGGCTTTGGATCCCACCCGCTCCGGCCGCTCAAGCTAATGCAGGTTGTGCTCCCCACCAGCATTGCCGGAATTTGCAACAAAGGTCAATTTGCAAACTTTGCCAATCTCTCGCCTTTGCAAACGGCGGGGAGAAAGATTCAATACCCCTGTACTAACTTCTCACGTACACTCCGACTGCCACCAGGCCATTTGGACAGGTTTTCAGGTCGGGCTTGGGTCTGCTGCGCAACTACCGAGCAGTTCACTTCGACAATACCCGAACATGCGCCCCCTTCGGAAGCATGTGGAAGAGAAAGGTCATATGTCAAGATGGCTGCGCTTCACTTGGCTTTATGCCGCTTTGGATGTCATTCCTTTGGCAGCAAGGGTAGCCTTTGTCATAACGAAACCCATACTCTACAGAATGTGCAAAACCGGCTTCTTTGCAAACTTGGCAATTTTCCCAAGAAATCTCTACCCGTGCTGTCTTTGGGGCAGCAATCCTCGAGTCACCATGGCGCAACCTAACTTCACATCACCAATTTCCTCCTCCCTGCAAGACCCGCGGCGACTTCTGGGGCGAGTCCTGAAGGCTGCACGAACATTTTGTACGTTGGATTAGCGCATTCATTTCAATGGCGTCACAAGAAGCACATCCTTTATCCGAGGAGGCTGCGGAAGATCAAAGCAATTCGGGAGAGGCTGCGCTCAAGGTGCGATCATTGACAAATCCGTGAATTTGGAGCTGAAAACTGAAAGACTACAGTTTGGGGACGAATTCAACGTCTCGAAGGTTTCCATTGACAACGATTGGACCTATTACCACGCCTGAATCATTCCCAGTCACGACACAGAGCGATTGGTTGTCTTCAGACCTAAACCGCCCTCGAGAGTCTTTGGTTGTATCAGAGTGCTTGATAAAGAGGAGGTGGTGTGGGAAGTCGTACGAAAAGAGGGTGCGTATATTGGTCGTGTGCCAGCCGGTTCGTCGTTCGAGGCACTCTTGGTCGAAATCAAACTCATAACCCTCCAAAATTGGAGATGTTTGGTAATTGGAATTCATGGCAGAATTGAGTTGCCTGAGTGCGCGGAATTGAGATGACAACGGAGGCAACCCGTCGTTCGATGGGAATTGTCAGTATGATCGTGTGAGTCTGTTCAGGAGTTGTTTGACTGTGCAACTTTCCAACCTCATCAAACAGCGCAGAAGGGACCAGGAAAGCAGCCTCAATGGCGGCTTGTTCTGTGACAAGGTTTTAGTTGTCATGGCTCCCACTTTTCAACGTCCTACTTACCATTGGCCTCAGGGCCTGAAGGATTCCATGTTCCCATTGGCAATGAGCTGCGCAGTATCGGTTTCTGCTTGAGCCACGATCTCTCTCCCTTTATCCCGAGACCAATTGGCGTGCTCGCTTTTGAAACGGTCCATTTGTTCTGAGAATCTGACCGCGCTTTCGGAGAAACGCAAACACAGAGATTCCAACGCATGATAGTCTTCTCGTATGGGCCAGCTGTTGATGTCACTCAAGGTCTCCGCCTTGTATTCTGCCTTCCTGGCTAGGTCTTCCAAATCCAGAATTAAAGAAGTTGCCAATGCCATGACTCTGGCGAAATTGCAAGATGGCGATTTTTGCAAATCGATCGTGCGGCGTCAGCTCAACTTAAAAGCGAGACTGGCAAGGTGGCCCGAGTATCTTAGGCTAGTTTGCAAGATGCAGGGTTTTGAGAGGCGGTCGCCAAATCATCTGTACCGCAACAGCCTCGTTGCAATTTTTCTCCGGAAGCTCGAATATTGCAGCGCTATCTTGTTCTTGACAACAAATCGTGTGTCAGAATTTGATGACGCAATCTTGAGCCGCATTCATCTCCCGCTGAAGTACGACAATCTTGGCCTAGAAGAGAGGAGATCTGTGTGGCAGAACACATTGAAACGAGCTGATACTCCCCACGGAGGGGCCTGTATCAAGGACCTGGGTTCTCTGACCGCTCCGAAGCTCAACGGTTGGCAGGTACGTCGATTATGCAATGCAACATCTTGTCACTGATCTCCGCCAGATCAAAAATGTTGTCGCCGCAGCACACGCGCTAGCAATGCAAGGAAATGCTCCGGTGACAGACCAACATATCCAACTAGCCCTTGATGTGAGCGAGGAGTTCATCAAGGAATTTTATCGCCCTCCAGAGAGGATGTACAGTTAACACTGCCCATAGTGCTATCTACTATCTTTCGGAGGTCATCCACGGTCATCCACTTTTGGTTTGGAGGGGGAACGCTGGAGGGATTGCTCTGGACTTTGGATATGCGTTGTCAGGTGCCCTGTTTGACGATGAGGTGGACGGCGAAAATATGGGCAACGAGGGTGGGCAATGAGGATAGCTCCCCATGATGCGAGGTTTTGCGATGGAATATGGAATTAGAGCCATGTCCAAGGCAATTCTTGCTCGCTATCTTACTCTAGGAACATCTGGGTCGAGAAATAGTTGACACTAGACTAGATTGATATAGCAGACGTTGTCGTTGGGTTCTATGTCACTCCGTCGAAGAAAGAAGGAGGTGTGCCGCGAGCCAAAAGTAAACGGATATGGGTCCTTGCTCCGGCGAGGGACTAAAGCCTTCCTGGTGTTCACAATTGAAGAGCGTGCTCGCTCATTGTGATCATTTCCCACAGAAGATCCAGTTCGTAGATCAATTGAAATAGTTGACAATCTTTCCGGGCAACACCAATTCTCTGCTCATTCCGCCACAAATGACCTGTTTGGAACATCATGGCCTCTCCTTCGCCCGACACTTTGATGAATCTACTTCTAGCTTCCGAGTCTGCTCAACCTGCCGAGTCTGCTGAGCCTCTCTCAACCTACTCGATCGATTCTTCGAGGGATGGAAAAGCGGCTTTGCAAAATCATCTCAAACATCGAAGATACTAAGCTTGCTCTAATCCAGACCCGAGAATTGAACATTAAGCGTGAAGATAAAGAGTCCTCTGCGATGGCGGGCATGGAGGGCCGTGAAGGGGCTCGGCAAACACTTCACTTCTACAAGCCGCTGCCCAACCGTGGCGATACCACCAGCTCCCTCTGAGTGCTAGAACAAGGGGATCTCTTCATCACTGTTACCGTGTCGGCCTCGTTCTGAACCTTTCCCGAGAGTCTGGCACATGTTAGACAGGCACGTGTTCACATCTTGTATCCTCGAGAAGTGTCGCCGAGTTCGTCAAGATCGCTTTCGAATCTGATATCAGTGCGCCTTTCCAGCAAGCTTCAGTGGTCCGCTGAATTTGTTTTAGGTCAGCGTGGCCGTCTCAACTTCAATGTCGTAGGGCAGACCAACTGACTGAAGGATACGGAATTCCGCTTTCATTTCCCCAAAAGCCCTTTCGCAAAACCGAGTGCTCGCAGTTCCTTCGTTCCTCTACTCATCCTTCGCTATGCTAGAAAACCCAGGCAATCCTCCACAGAGACCTCCTACCTCTCAGGAGACCAACCCTAATCCTGAAGTAATAGCGAACGGCCAAACACGGGTTCTGCTCGAAATGGAGTCGGGAACCCTCCACATCGAATTGGGATTTCGTTCAAACCCCGAATCTGGACAAGGCACAAGATGTCGACCTCTTCAAGAAGAAAGAATAAAGGTATGATGTTTGCTTCTGACCAAGGTTCACTGTTGATAGAGGTAGGGACCTGCACAATTTCCAGAGGCTCAAGACCTTGAAGAGACGTAGAAAGCTTTGGAGTTGACTTGAACACGGTTCTACCCATGGATCTGATCGACCTCACGGGTCTTTCGACGGTTCGACAATGGTGGCGGTCTTTGCTCTTGAGGGGGTCATTCCTCAGAAGAAATTTGCCGAAGAATCTCTTTTAGTCTTCTTGAAGTGACGAACTTCCTCAGCCAGTCCCGCACGTTGTCTAGCAACTGCGAGACACATCATTACACTATGACGAGATTCGCTTGAATGACGAATCATGAGCGGTCATATTCGCCTAGAATCTTTGCGCATGTTGCACATGTAGCTTGTGATGCTCGTGTTGGGCCATCATTCGCATGAAAGTGAGCTTTCTCGTCAATTGGAACACGCAAGCTGAAGGCAAATCACTCCGTGCCGCCGATTTCACCGTCAAAGCCATTAGGTCGCGTAGTACCTTCGAGTTGACATTGACTTGGCTCGTCCGTGTCCCGTCAACCGTTATCAGTCAACAAATCAGCACCGAAACAAATTGCCCTTGCCCAAATTTCCTAACACCGTATGCCCAACATCGAGTATTAACCAACGGGGGTGCGAAATACTTAGATACCCAATCGTCCGGGCTCTACTGAGCCGATCCTGTGTAGCTCTGCGTCGATTCATAAGATGCACCATACCCGCACCTTTCCTGGCGACGTAGATGGAGCTCCGTAAGGTGTGCCAGGCTATCCAGCTTCGTGCCGAAGATCTCGTCCCAGCTGCGGAGCAGACTGGAGTCTGGCGAACCCCAGTGAACCAAGTACCGAATATTTCAGCAATCAAACGCGTTTATTTCGTGTTCAAGGAGAAGAGGGTAAGTGAGCATTGGCATTTTGAGCGACGACAATTTGACTAATTAGAGATGCTCGATGCAATTCTTCAACGTCGAGGCTTACAGAAACACAGTATCCGTCGCCATAGTCCGGAGGTCCTATTCTTCTCGGAGGACACTTTGACCGTTCAAGAGGACCAATTCATTCTTATCATATGGTTAGAAAACCCATAAATCCGACAAAATAATGCCAATTCAACATGCGAGAAAGAACGTCCCGGTGATATATCTGTGGCTGCAAAGGTGGTGCCGCCTCGGGGAATTAGGGACGAGTCTTCCCCTGCAGATGGCCTCAAGCCCTTGGGGAGGCCAGACGCGGCCATTCGAGGAACGTGCTGTCACAAATATGGAACAGAAAGGGTAGACAGGTCGCCAAATAACTTCGGCTTCTCGGCAGTCGATGTGTCCTTGGAAGTTCCGACGCAGTAGCAGAATTTGGTCGAAGTATTGGAACGCAAGCCAGAGATTGTGGCCTCGACGTCGATTGACCAGCAAGACGAACGAATAGGGCTGGAGGCGGGGGATATTCTCGAACTTGACGTGTCTGAGAAGCTCCATTCTGAGGCTGGATTGTTTGGGGGAATGTTGAGCGTGCATAATTGGTAAATCCACAGAGAGGATCAAAAAGTAGATAGCTCACAGAGCGGCTGTTGGCGAGATATTCATGTCGTCCGCAGAAGGAAGTTCCATCGCAAGGTTCACCCAACAGTCGGGTTCTTGTACAAAACCCCATTCATTGCGTTCAGGATCCTATACGAAATTCCATGCGTCGTCGTTTGGACAAGGATATATTGGAGATCCCATATTCCGCACCGTCATTCATGGTCAGTTCTGGGACGGTCAGGTCAGTGTCATTTGTTCAGCGCTGAGCGCAGGGCTCATCTGCCAAGTGATTGGGCAGTCTTCGTTCTCGTCGATCGGCGTCATGATTGCCCAAGTGGCCTTGCTCATGGTCTGAGAACCAGGCAATCTCAGGAGGACCAGGCGTCTCCGGGCTCCCCAGATCTTGAGGTGCTCCTACGCCAGACCGGTCATTTAACCGACGGCGCTTGCGTGAGAGTTCGCCATCATGTCTTGACAACTCCGATCCGTTCATGGCTGGAGGACTCTCCGATACAAACACTGTGGACATCTCTGGGTGAAGGGCGGCCGCACCAGCGAATTCATTCCGCCAAAATTGTCGTCTCCCAAGCGACCATCATGGCTTCTGCACCGACCGACGACATCGTGCTGCCAAGGCGAAGGTGGTGAAGTAAAACCGTTCGAGCTCAGAAGCCGTCGTCCAGAGAGAGTCACGGCTGAGGTGGAACAACACTCTGCACCCTTGCGCTGAGAAGTGACAGTCTCTGCCTGACCGGCATGCCTGTCCAAATCATTTTCGTTTCCGGCATCAACAATGCGCCTCAAGCATTGATCCGCTTGCCCATAATGTTATCGATTTTATCGACCATGGCAGACCTTCCCTTGACGTTCCAGACGTCGGCCGCGACCTCCTGGTATCGCTTATATGCATCGCGGATAGCTGTATCCAACTTCTTGGTGATTTTCTCCACAAGATCATCATCGCTGGATACCCGATCCAGGTTTTCTGTGTCGGCCACGCTCAATTGTTTCATCATTTTGGGCCGGTCTAACAATAGGAGAAGCGTAGCGGAGCCCGACTTCCCAATGTGAATCAAGGGTGCTCCCAGTCGAATGACAGGTTCTAGCTTGGAATTCGTGATGTCGAGAGAGCGGGCAAACTCCTCGTATAGATTCTTAGGCTTGCCTCGATTTTTGCCTTGACACGACAACGTTTCTTTCTGAAATGCCCGGCTTTCGGTGATGTGGGTTGATATTATATAGCCCCAAAAGCATCTGCCCGACTCGCTGGAGGCTATTTTTGTCTTCTGAACATCAACACCGGCGAGGGCTGGCGGTTATTCCGTCATGGGCAGAGACAAGATCGAGTTGAGCTCGCATTTCCACAGGACTTTGTACCGTCGCAAGGCATTCGCTCGAACATTCTTCAATGATCGCTTCTGGCGGATTAGTCTCAGACGATGTAGTGCTCGTGCAGGCCGGATGTGAGGAAGGTGAGGATGAATCAGTATTATCGCAGTCGCCGTCGTCGTCATCGCCGTCATCGTCGTCATCGTCGTCATCCTTGTTATCCCCCACCCCCTTCTCCTCCAGTAGCATAGAAGCCTGGCGTGCGTGTAGAACCTTGACTTCTCTGGCATCACGGTGCGCGGTCCCTCCGTCGTCGATATAGTTTAGGGGAGGTCTGTTGCGCTGGTCCACGACAGTCGCTTGTAAACAAATCGTCAAGAATTGTAATGTGTCCAACAGCAAGGTCCTATATGCGGTCAAATAATCATGTGTCAGACTCTTTATTCCATCCCATTGCAGTCGGTAATTCCATTTATGACTGCCGCGGAAAAAGGATGTCATGAGTACGAAGAGGAATTTTGAAGATGTGAAGGACTGAAGAGACGCTCTGCTTGTTTCGCCAATGTCGAATGTTGTAACGGTTACAACAGTTAGCCTTGGCGATAGCCACGTTTCCTGCCTTGCCATTCTCTCTAAAGGGTGGCGCGTGTGATGGATGACAATAATCACACATTATGTGTGATTTGACTGAACCAGGGTTGGGAGGAACATCCCTGACATCAGTGAGCATGATGGAATCATTGGATTTCTTCTCATGGTCGGGGCCAGCACATAAGGATGCCGTCTGCCAGATCGTCCTGTTCTTCACCGGTCAGTCAACCTGCCAATCGCCGCTTACCTCGTACCAGAAGCGGTTTGTAGAGGCAGAAACATGGCCCCGCCAACTCCCATCCGAGTTCCTCATTGCGAGCGAGTCCCACATTACCAGAAGCGCTTGTGGACAGGCACAGACAGCAGACAGACGAAAGACAGACACACTTCTGCAGCTCGTGGTCATATTGACGCCCAGCTTTGTAAATTTTGACTTCACCACTACCAGCTTTGGCGCGATCTTACCCCAGGACCAGGCCGCGCCATCACCGAAACACGAGGCGTTGCAAGTACTGCAGGAGATAGCCGACCTGGAGCCGACGGAGACCGTCAAAGATCCCCTCCTGATTGGAGACCAGTTCGAAGCACTCCTACGTCCCATATTGCGGACAGCCAATCCCACGCGTCTTCCGACATGGGACCCGACATCAGACGGCTATGAATCAACGCCATATCCGAACATCTTATCGACCCTTGAGGGTCTCGGACTACACTTGGACGAGGAAACCTTTTTCAATCGACCGCGCCAGGTGCTGGACATCCTACCTCGCCACCTTTTCCTGAGCGGGTTGTCACTCCCAGGTAGCCTGGCTGTGTACAGTGAGGTGGCTTCTAGTTTCAGCCGGCTGGAAGCGAAGCTAGCTGGAACCTTTCGCCACAAGGCATCATGGTTATAGTTCTCAGCCGGAATCCGAAATACACTTCGGTTCTCAAAGGGTGGTCCCAGATATTGGAGGCCGAGTGCTTTTTCTCCGACATGATGACTCCATTCTACGAGGAGCGAACCAGTCGCAGGCGATTTGCATTCCTCCTGGTATGCCTCCTCGTCCACCGCCTTCTTTTTCGACGTGAAGAGGACCATATGCAGGAACGGCCAAACCTACCCCAGCAACTCCTCCCGAAGTGGTTGGTCCTTCTTGAAAAGGCGGTGGTATCGTATCCAAGACATGTTGGGCACAATACCCTGCTTCAATCGCTGACACCACCGATGAATTTGGTGCAGCTGGCAACCGCGGTCCTTCGACGTCAGAGCCTTGTCGATCAAGACCAAATTAACGTCATTCCTACGACTATCATCGAATGCTATGATGTGGCAGCGGCAATGCAACAAGCGTCCATGAATTTGATAACGGGTGGTGAACGAAGCGACCACGGATGCGGCCGATCTTCACAGATTGGCCGGCTACTGCCAAAAAGGTTCCAAACCATTAGAGACTCCCTTCTTGGCCAACTCTGGCGGTATATGGAGCCGTCAATCAACAAAACCTGGTGCTTGCGTACCTAGACGCTCGAAATCTTGATCGACTGCAGGATTACGGGAAAGCACTAGCCAGGTTTGCTTTGATCATCAATGGACAATAGCGGTAGCCACAACTACTGCGAAGCCTGGAGACTTCTACAACGACTATGCACATACACTAGATGAACTCTCCACAAGCATGTTAAATACCAAAAACCAGAACCACTGAAAGTAGGAGACGGACTCGACTTGTCTAAATCTTTTCCAATCAGATGAGAACAGGGTCCAGCCCATTTTTCAGACGTGAGTTTGGCAGGTCACCATGTTGATGAGCACGAGGTCGTGTCGTCGTCGGCTTCTAAGGAGACCGTATCGGCGAGGATTACAAAAGATCTATTAAGCTTCCTATTTCCTGGACTCAGGCGTGACATCCTCCCTGTCTTTCTGAATTTCTCCTCGAGTCCAGCCTCACCCGCGAAATTCCTGCCGAAGCTTCTTCCGCCCCCATGAATCTACAAAATGATATGTTCGGAGAGAAGTACATATATGACGACATATCAGAGAAAATGCGCGAGGCGAAGGCTAACGCCATTATCGACGCGTTCATTGCGAGTCGTTCTTCAAAACAAGAACTCAGAATACGAATCTCGAGAACGGGATCGCCTGCTTGTCGTGGAGGGGATGACCGCAGTCTCTTGAGCATTCAAAGACTGATCGGTGAAAGTGGATCCCCCAAAGTCAAGGCGGCGCATCTCTGGGACAAATTTCCGAGGGCGAAACTCATCACCCTGCACAGGATGGTTGATTTGGAAGTTCTTTACTCGACCGAGACGGATACGCTCACAGTGATTAATTTCCGGCAGGCGGAACCCTATCCTCCAGGAGATCCTGAGGCGAAGGGGTTTTCTGTACGTCCTGCCAGGAAGTTGGTACATCAATCGATACTGTGCTCCATGTCTTATTCCTATGCCTCCTGTGGACCATCATGCGAGACGTACACAGGACAAGACACGGCCTTAGATACAAGCTTCGATCTCTTCTTCTGTGTGGAGAATGAGAATCCATCTTGGGGACCATTCGGCTGTCATCCAACGCTGAAGAGTGGTGCGCTCCGCCTCATCAAGCCCACCCTGTTCTTAAAGGCCACCTGGAGGAGCCAGGAGCGCTACTCCCTGGCAGCCGGCGCACATCGATAGATGCTTTCAATTGCTTGCTGGAGTCTACGTGCTGCGTTGTTGGCACACAAATCATGTAGGGATGGTAGTGGCAGTTGCCCTAACCTTATTAGGAAGGTTAACTGATTGGTCCGAGTCACAGAGCCTGCATTAGGCAGGTTAGGCGAGTGACACTGCGGCACTGATTGCCACCTTGTCTTTCTCCATCTTCGTTAGTTCCTCAGTTAGTTAACTCTGTCAATCCACTTGGTGTGGTCCTAGGGTTGCTGGACCGATCACTGGCCACTCCAGGATCAGGCCTACGTCCTAGAATCGCGGACTACGGGTATTGACGGGCGAAGCTCACACGGGAATGGCTATCCTGTTGAACCTCTAGCCAGCAAACACGGATCACTTCTGCATATGATTACGCACAGTAAACGGGACCCATCAAAGACAACCCTGGCATCCCCGCCGCGGAGGCGGGATCAAAGGGTGCCATGAAAGCCGATTGTGTGGGTCGAAATCCAGGGTCCGAGATGAGCCAGCGTCGTGTGTTCGCTCTGCTCTTGTTTTTCATCACAGACACTTAGCATGGACGAAACAATATGCGCTCACCTCGCCTTGCGTGTGGTGCCCCATGAAGTTACCCAGCAGAACACGCTATGGAGGAGTGGGGAAGCGATGCATGCCTTACCAAGAATAAGCGAAACCAGAAGTCTCGAATATACTTGGGATGACAAGAAGGATTGCATCACTCCAGCTTTCATGTACAGCTCTTGGCTGCCCGCATAGTGGCATTTTTCAGTCGTTCTTCGGTGCTGTTTCATTGCTTCCTGCCCTGTTGGCCTTCCGTTCCGACACTGATACCCTTGCACGATGCAGAACGATTTGCACCCGATTCCTGAAAACAAATGAGGTACGGTGCACGGAGACAACAGAAACCAAATTCACACGGTCGAATGCGAGAAGCCCGCGAATTTGGCCATGACAGGGCACGGGTGGTCGAACACTTCTACTACTCGACTAAGCCCAACGTGAGCAACCAGTACTCTTGTCCTTGATCCGGGAATCCAGATTGCAGCCATGAGCCCATACCGTGGCGGGACGAATACCAGTACGCCTCCCAGGAATGATGAGAAGGCTTGAAGACTCACTGACACGAATGCTCCCAGTACATGCCTCGACGCACATCTGAAATCCTACCGGTGTAAGGAGCCAGACTGTCGCACGCGGACGTTCGAATCTACTGCCGCATTGGACCGTCACAGAAAGGACCACGCGAGGCGATATCCCTGTACTGGGTCAAGCTGCTATTGGAGTCTAGGCGGGAGTCCTTTCACTCGACCCTCGGACCGAGACCTCCTCCACATGGAGCGAAGCCACCCACCCACGGAAATAACCTCATCTCTCCTATCCGTCGCTGCTTCTGCACACCAGGCGAGCCGCAATACATCGTCTCCTATACCCTCGACACTACCCCTGGACTTCACGGTGGACATTTCGAGGGCGGCCACCTCAAGAGCAAAATAGCCTGTGCCAAATGGCTGCGGCCCGTGATTCACCGCTTTTTGCGTCACTCGCACTTCTGTCTCTCCTGCATCTAAGTCAATGAACCATGACAGATCTGAGAGACGCAACTCATCGGTTGAGTCAACTCAGTCATCGTGATTTGGCTGCGACCAGCCTTCTGCTCTTGAAATCATGGGAAGCCTTGACCAAGTACCTACGCGCAGTTCTGAAGGAATACCAACTTCTATCAGACAATGTCGTCGCCGGAAGCAGTGTGCGGCAGCTAGACAGTGAATCCGATTGTTGCACCCAGAGTGAAGCAGCCCACGACGATGACTTCGCGGACGCAAGTTCATCACCAAGGCGTACCGCACCTTCCAAAAAGGCGAAGCGCGGCATCGTCGTCAACGTGGAGGCGAGCCTGCAAACATGTACAAGGAATCTGCTGCCTCCCTTGGCATCAAGAACCCCAGGCCTGAACGCCACATCAGGCTTGGAGATGCGGTGACGAGGATATGGTCTTCTGGTTACCTTGCATTTCTCCTTTTGATGCAGCAGCATTTCACTTTGCGTCAATTGAGTGTTCGCGACGTCCTATAACTTCGTCCCTGGTCCTGCGACGATTTAACGACCGCCCAAATCACTGCTGTGTTGAGTCCGTCCGTTGAAGACGCATATGAGAGATATCAAGATATCACCCAGGAGCACTGAACCGTCGAGAAAATCAGCTTGGCAGATTTATTTGGTTTAACTGCTTTGACTTTCTTCGTGGGGGAGTGTGTACGATGAGGCACTGGCCAATGGACATACAGTCAAGAGACTAAGCAGGGGGATGCATGCGTACGAACCAGAGCAGCGCCAGAGTCGGCACCAAGTCCAAAATCTCCTTAATCATGATCTGATCGGGTGCCAAGAGAACAACCGCAGATGCAACACCAGCTCCTCAACTTCAACTTCAGGACGGCCCTCTCACCCTCCTGATCAGCGTGTGCCCGGGCTAATGCCATCTCTTGTGATATTCATTAAGAGCAAGAAAGGCAAGATCTCTCTCCAAGCGTATGCCTGGCAAGAAGCGAGTCCGGCGGCTTTCAGGACTCGAGCCTAACTGCATCTTCCCATGAAGCACTGGGCGCGATTGCGGTTCATTGGTCAAGCAGAACGCAGGCAGGAAATCATGCTTGCCGTCCGCAAAACCCACAATGGCAGCAGAAGATCACGCCGTAGATTGCACTGAATGGGCCCCAAGATTTCGAAACCCCCTGCTTCAATTACATGGAGTCTCCTTCTCAACTTTCAAGTTATCACCAACCACCAACTTGAGCAGAAAGCCCGAAGATTTTCCCACCCGCAGCGCTACCATGCTGTGGAACATCCTGGAACAGATGTCTCTGGCGATGAATTGGAGGACGGGCTCAAGACCTAGCACTAACCATGACAGGAAAGACTCGTTGAAAGCAATACGATACATGTTACTGCCAAAGGTCAAGCATGCACCTCCCTTCAACATACTGTTGGAATGTGGACCTTAAATGCAAACCCTCATCTGGAGAGACAAACGCAAAATGGACCAACTGCGATCCTAACTCGGTTCGACTGGAAGACACTACGAAATCGATTTCTCAAGCACCCAGGTCTGATCACATACTTCCAATGACATCAGGTCCATGTCGCACCCTCACAGGATGGCCGAATCCAAATCATCCTTTGAGAGATAGGATCATCCAGTTGGGTAAATCAGATATAACGGTGCCGCTAGTGCAAGAACCACACCACTTTTGCAAATAAAGATCTTGTACCATCAAGACTGGTTGGATGCTTCCCCCCTCGTGCACGATTACAAAGTCCCGATCCCAGTGTTGGGCATTTTACCGGGAATATGCCGGGAATGTGCCGGGCTTTACACGCGGCGGCAACTCTTCGGGTTCAATTGCAATTAACCTGACATACCCGGTGCAGAACCCGGAATCCTGGATCTATTCTGGGAAATCAAAAGCGACGGCGTAACTGAACATGGCGCGGTGTTTGCTCTTTCAGGCTATAACACATGCACTACTGAACCAGACGGCGGCGAGTGAGTCTAGAATCAAGGGGTTTGGATATTTAACCGGTTCGTGAAGCGGCCGCTGACCACGGAAAGTTAGCGACACAACCAATCACCCCATCAGACTAACCTTTGCTGGGCGAAATAGCCTGTACTGTTCCATTCACCCGGCGTGCACCTGACCCGATGAATCGATAGTTCCGTTGCAGATATTATCCGGGGACCAGCGATTCCACGCCATCCAATGCATGGTGATCCACGCTAGAGGCGGTTTCGATCTCCGACCCCGCGTTCAATGGGGAAACTGCGGAGAGTCGAGGGTGGGTCTGGGGAATGAGTTTGGATTGTCGTCTGTCGGCCCCTGAGACGAAAACGCAATACTATTTAGTCGCCATGTGCTCTTCCCCCAGAGACACAGACCTCCCTGTCTTCATCTGCAGTCGCTCTTTCGCTCATTGGGCCTGGTATTTCGTGCCATATTGTTCTTCTCCACACAATATTGCCAGTGTCACATAGCTCTGTGGGAAGCCATTGCCAACATGGTTGATCTCAAGGCACCAAATGTGACGGCCCAGGAAAACCGGCAGCTGGCCGTCGAGGAGGCACCGGACTTCGAGAAGGTGTCCTGGACGAAGGACAAGGGTCTACGCAAGCTCTACATCAACTGCTGCTTCGGTCTTTTGGTCGCTTCTGCTACCACTGGGTATGATGGGTAAGTCGATTGCGACGGAAACAATGTTGGCATTGTCTAGAGATTACGGTTTTTGCTGAGCCTGCTTTTCTCCAGATCGCTTCTCAATCTCTTGCAGCAGTACGACTTCTGGGAGGCTTACTTCCATAACGTTGGAACGGACCCTTCCAAGTCCAGTCTCCTCGGCCTCTTGACCAACATGTTTACCATCGGCTCCATTCTCTCCATGTTCATCGTGTAAGTTTTTGCGTGCAGGGGAAGCAACCAGTGCGTGGCTGGGTGGCTAATGCTGAAATCAAGGCCGACGATCACCGATCGATATGGGCGCAAGCCCTGCATCGTCGTCGGCTGCGTCTTCATGATTATTGGTTGTATCATCAACACTGCCTCGATAAATTATGGAAGTGAGTTGCACATAGTTGCGATGGCACATACTTTCACATTCGCAGAAGCTAACCACCTCCAGTGTTCTGTGCTGGTCGTTTCATTCTCGGATTCGGCAACTCGCTCAGCCAGCTGACCTCACCAATGTTGTTGACCGAGATTGTTCACCCCCAGCACCGTGCTCCGGTGACCACCGTGTATAACTGCTTGTGGAATCTGGGAAGCTTCTGTACGGAATCTTCTTGCTCCCCTGTTCTTGCTTCACAGCAGAGCCCGCTGACCGCAACTAGTCTGCAATGTTATCGGCTTTGGCCTCCAATACGTAAAGAGCGACTGGTCGTGGCGAGCCCTGACCCTCTTTCAAATTGTGCCGGCCATCTGCCAGCTTATCTTCATCTGGGGTACGTCTGAGCATTTGGATTCTCATCCGTGACATAAGCTGACCACTTCTCTCAGGAATCCCCGAATCCCCCAGATGGCTGATCTCCAGGGACCGCCACGAAGAGGCCCTCCAGACCTTGGCTAAGTGGCATGCCAACGGTAATGAGCAGGACCTTACAGTACAATTTGAGTACCGCGAAATCGGCGAAACTCTTCGGATTGAGAAGCAAATTGCTGGAAGCAGCAGTTACCTCGACTTCTTCAAGACCAGGGGTAATCGCTGGAGGCTTGCCATCATCATTTCTATCGGTATCATCTCACAATACAGCGGTAACGCTGTTGTTTCCAACTACGCAAATTTGGTCTACAATGGTGCTGGCATCACAACGCAGGTGCAGAAGCTTGGTGTAAGTACAACACTGCTCATCATGCACTCCACTCCAAACTTCTAAAACTTCCTTACCGTTACTGATTGGCGTGCCCAGCTCTCTCTTGGTTCAACCTGCCTCAGCTTGATCGTCTCCATCAGCGCTGCGCTTATGGTCGACAAAGCCGGACGACGCCCGCTTTTCCTGATCTCTATTACTGGTATGTACTAGCCGAGTAAGTAACTCAAAGCAATACGGGATCACTGACACGTATTCCCCTTATAGGCATGGTTATTTCATTCGCACTCTGGACTGCCATGGCCGGCGAATACGAAACTCATAATGACGCGCAAAACTTTGGTATCGCCCAGATTGTCTTTGTCTGGATCTTTGGTATCTTCTACTCTATTGGTTTCTCGGGTCTGCTTGTTGCCTATACCCTCGAGGTCCTGCCTTTCCACCTCCGCGCCAAGGGCGTGATGATCATGAACATCACCGTTCAGGCCATTCTCGCCATTTCGGCCCAGACAAACCCTGTCGCAATCGAGAACTTGCCCCATGCTTGGAACTTCTGGCTCTTCTACACTGTAAGACCCACCATCCAACTTCCTGAAGATTTTGATGTCTGTTCTAACACACCTTGTGTCTCTAGCTTTGGGACTGCGTCGAGGCTGTCTGGGTTTACTTCGTCTTCGTGGAAACCAAGGGCCCGACCCTTGAAGAGGTCGCTAAGATTTTCGATGGTCAGGAGGCAGTGGCTCATGTCAGCCTGGAACAGACTGCGAAAGAGATTGAAATTCTCCACAAGGAAACAGCCGATGAGAAAAATGTCTGAGCTTTCAGACACACAGTGGTACTGCAGGTTGAGACTGGAAAATGTCCAACAGTGAATGCCTTTCACATGGATCAAGACGATGTTGTAGCACAATAGCAATTATATTGACCTCAGCACCTGATTGTAAGGGAAGAAGGTAAATGGACAGGTCAACAGCAGAATAAAACCTACTATTGGTAGCTCTAGCCCTATATACAGACACTCCAAACCTTGAGGAGGGTTTGAGTAGGCTGCATACCGCATGCGCCCCTTATCTGCTGTTTTACCTTGGCTGTGCTTGGCCCACTTGTCTTATTCTTAGCGGGGTCCCTAACAGCCTTGCCTTCCTTCTCCTTCTCCAGTTCAGTTTCTTCGGGGTAAATCAGTCTACCAAGCAGGATTTCCTGCGTTTTGTACGAGACGTCACACATTCAGGGCTCTCCTCTTCTGTGAGCCGTGCCGGTAGAAGAATATAGAGACAGGGATTATCGTGTACAAGACAGACTCGTGAGGAACTTGTTTCAGGGATTGAAAACTAAGCGACATTAAAGGTAGACTCAATAAAGATTCGAACATGCTTGATGCAAGGCCCTTTCCTTGAAACTTTGCTGGAAACTATAGCTGAGCGCCAGGGTCAGAAATTGGGCTTCCCTATCTAGGCTTGAGTGTCCGGGACCCAAAACACGGATGCCCGAAGGCCGAAAATGGTCCACAATGGGTAATTACCGGCCGCTCAGGCGCTGCTGAGTGTGCAACACCTCCGCCACCACTCAGGCAACTTACTCAGCACTTGCTTTCAAGGCGCGTTTTGCTCGGGCCAGAAAACGATAATGGCTTTGGTGAGGTGAAATCTTCCTGGAAGCATGTTGCCTTCCTGAGCGATCCCAAGGGTAGTGTTGGGGCCATACCCCCGCCGATATCTATGGATCCAGCAGTGTCATAGCAGCGATAGATTCGGCCTTCCGGAAATTCCAAAGGCCTTGATTCAGCAGAAATTCCAGGACCATTGACCTGTCGCCCTTGGCCTCTGCTCCTTACGTTTTCGACGACTTCCATGTTCCCGATTCAACCGTTTGCCCACATCGCAAGACTTGTACGCCGAAGTATCTTTGCTGTGAGGAAGGCTACTAAATACAGTTGCGAGCTTCCGATGTGGGTAAGTTCAGGTTGAGTTTGAAACAGCATCAGCCAACAGTCTTTGTTTTCTTCTGCCGGAATCAAAGTCCCGTTTGTAAATGGGACCCTCTCTGCAACGCTTCTCAAATCTTCGGTGGCTTTGCTGACTTACATGATGGTCAAAAAAGTGATCTACCAATGTGAACTTGGAAATGTGCGGAGTGCCACAATCATAAGTAGTGATGTAGTGGAGCAGAGTCACACTGCATTCCCGAGAAGAATAGGTCCAACGTTCAGCAGTGCTCAAGATGTTTATGCTCTTTTACGAATTCCTTCGTCCTGGCTCCAATGCGGCTCGGCTGACGATGTTCTGGCAATAGGTGATCCATGACAAACGCTAATCAACTACATTGTCCGCACCATGAGCCAGGTGTTCGTAAATAACTCGGCGTGTATTGCGCTTCCCGCTACCTCTCACACTGACCTGGTAAGCCCAAGCTCCCGCGCTGCTGCCTCAAAGTTTCTTACGCACTGCCCCTTCGACTCCAGTACCAATGGTACATAGAAGGCAGAGAAAGAAATAAAAGCTATCACTCTTCTTGAATTTTTGGCACTAAGTTTTCAATGTTTCTAGGACGCTTTTCTCGATTACGGAGTTAATATTTGCGCAAACAATATTTCCCAGAGAACCTTGGACATGAAGTTCCTTGATCATCTCACCGCCAAATATGGATCTCGGCTACAGGCGGGCAGAAGGAAAGATATCGAACTGTGCGGTGTCTGCTCCCGGATTAACTGGCATTCTATTCTCCTTGACTGCTGTGGGGATTTCTATCTGACCGGAGACAACACTCCCCTATGAATGGGAACCGGTTCCCAGCTTTCGAGAGATGCAGATGTGGCAGACACGCTGTTCTTTCTGCAGGCTCTGCACATGCATCATGGACGCTGATCCAGCGCTTCAGCAGTCATCCTTGGATAGACTGCCTGCCTCTGGAGCTGGTCGACCATGCTAGAAACATGGGTGGTCGAGAGCTCGCTGATCCACTAGCGCGTGGTGTAAGCCCAGTGAGGCGAGTGTATCGCTTTGACCGACAAGAACTCCTTGGTCGTCTCGATTCGATCCCTTTTCGCCCAACTATCAAGTCCCGAGTGTTGTGCGATCGCAATAACATTCCCATCGGGCTCGAATTCAAACCTTCAGCGCTCTTGGGGCTAAATCCCGCAGCCGACGAGGTTCCAATCTATAGGAATGATCGCGGCCGGCGAGTGCCCGAATTCGAGGCTGATCCCGCCCTGTTTAGGCAATGGTTGGACAGATGCAAGCTGAAGCACGGCGACTCGTGTGATGCCGCACCTCACGTGACGTCGAGGCGCCAAGACTACCGCATTCCGCTCTGCGGCGCTCATGTATCTTCCACGCCACGAGATCTCTCTCTCTCTCTCTCTCTCTGACAGTTTGACTCCAACAGGACTGCGTATGGGATACAGCAAAAAACCACCCTTCTAATCTGACACCCCGTTCCAGCCGCTGCCTGAAGGTCCCCTCCGGAAGAACATCATTCACGACCAGGGACCTTGGGACGAGCATGCCCGAGGTTTCGGCTCCCTTGGACTACTGAAAGAGACTGAACAGTACTTGGACGAAGAATGCCCAGGGGTAACCTCCTGGAGGGAGGTGGGAGGTAGAGACAGTCTGAGCTGCACCCGGAACATGACTCACCTGCAAGACAAAGACAACAAAGGCACGGTGGGCGGCCGAGGATGGATCCGGACGACCCCTTTGAAAAAGACCGCCACATTTTACACGCTCGTCCTTTGTTTCCCTCACACAGTCTTTTGTTCCCCTTACACAGTCTTTTCCTTCCATTACACAACAAAGACGTCGACGACACCTCACAGCTCAGTCTTACCGGAGGCCATCCTTCCCCCTCTTCAATCGAGACACCTGGTTTTACGCAAAGACCATTATCCTGTTCGATGAATATGTCTAGTTTCTCGGAAAGTCATGCGCCCAAGGCGGCTGCAGGGCTCGACACTTTGGAGTCGCCTATAATGCCAGCGCGCCTGGAGAGCCTCCATCAACCGCAACCTCATCGTCCGCCAGCACTCGCCACAATCCTCCATTTCCCAAAACCTTCTCAGACCTCAAAAGTCGAGGATTGGCTCGCATCTTTGGACGAGGGCCGACGACAACACTCCAAGTCGGACAGTCACTTAACTCGCATCTGCCGTTTCTTCCAGCCGACAAGAATCCTGTCCGAATTGGAAATGCCCAAGAAGCCCACTTCACCAGACCCGTCACTAGACCCATCTCCGGAAACCAATCCGGAGACCAGAGCCTCATGTTCCCTGGTTGGAGCCCCTCGCTACCGGGAACGCAACCTCGACCATAACAACATCCAACTCCGCAGCATGAGAGAGAAGCTTCCTGAACATGTTCAGGGTCTCGTGGATGATATGTTTAAAGAGCGTCAATCACCGGAACCAGAAGCTGAGGATATCAGAAAAGACACCAATCTGACTAACCTTAGCGACGTCACCGGCACCGAGTCATTAGTGACCAAGTACTTCAAAAAAAACATTTTTGAAGATCCTACGGATTCAAGGAGACTTGAAGGTCTAGGTATGACGGAGGAACCTTTACCTATACACAGAGAACATATTCCAAGCTCAAATGATTCGGAGATCAATCTTCCAGTAAGTCAGCCGAAGCCGGATATCCTTTACGGCTACTTCTGGAACGACTTCACATCGGGACAGCAAAGACAATTCAAAAATATGAATGACATCGAATATACTGCCAACAGTCAAGGGCTCATCTATCCATTTTTCGTTATCGAAATCAAAGGTGACGGGCTTGGTCCTACCGCGGGAAGCCTCTGGGTAGCCACGAATCAATGTCTAGGAGGCGCGGCAACCTGTATCAACATGGCCGAAAAGCTCAACCGATATATCGAACAACTCTCGATGTCATCGACTGTTTCACCCGTGGACACTACAGTCTTCAGTATCGCCATGAACGGGAGCGAAGCCCGCCTCTTAGTATCATGGAAGGAAGACGATGGGAGCGGCAGAATATACTATACCCAGCAAATCCAAGGGCTTTTAGTATATAGGCCTCAAGATTACCTCCTACTCCGCCTCTTTGTCCGCAATGTACTCGAGTGGGGAAGAGACCGTCGCCGTGCTCAAATCGGTGCAGTTCTCGATGCTGCTCAGGAGGGGAAGAAGAGAAAGCTCGATGCCATGTCTCAAGATGCCATCGAGGGCGATTCCAAACGTTCGAGGCATGATCGGAGAGTTGAAAGCATGGGGCAAAGCGTCCAAGAGTCAAGAGTGGTATGCACCCGCCGCTGAAGGTAGGCAGCATCGATGGCAGGGGAGCTCCCTTTGGCAGGTCCGGAGGAGCAACCAATGCTGACGGATGACTGACTCGGAATAGAACTGGGAGCCTCTCCGACAAAAGACTCCCAGAGTTGTCTGAGCTATCCGAAGTTTGTATGAGTTTGCTTGGGTTGTCTGGGTTATGACATTATGTAAGTTGTAAGAGTTTTGTATGAGTTCGGGGTGATCTTAGTGGTCCCCAGATTACTTGATCTTGGCTGATCATTTGGGGAGAGGGGAAATCCGAAGAAGCACGCAATCATAACAACAGCTTGATATCAATGCCAGCATGATGAAGATAATCGGCGGCGGTGGTGGTATCGAGGTCTTCAGGATCTTCAGGTTCAGGCTCCAGCCGGGACTACCGCGAAGAGGGTTGACACAATCTCTCTAAAATCTGACTTTTGTTGCGAATGCATTAATAGCAAGGAGGCATAGGTTCAATGAATGAATCCCGGGGCCCTGCTCGACCATGGGCTCGACCCCCCAGGTGCTGACATGTCAAGACGTTGTCTGATCCTTGGTGGCGATGGTTGTCACCGAGGTTTGCAAGCATCATCGAAGACGTGCACGCGACGAGAGCGAGGAAGTCGGCTCGGCCAGACGGCAGCATTCCGAAGAGCTAAGGTAGGGACAGATCTCGCGGTTGGCATCGACGCAGGAGGCTCTTCGGAATATACCTTATTGCCGGTGTTGACCCTCGGGGAGGGGGGGGGAGGGACTTAGTAGATACGGTCGATGCCACTGGTTATTTACATATGGTGAAGTGAGTGACCTGGTGCCTGACGCTCATTGTTCTCTGGAACCCTTTCATCGGAGTCTTCTCAACCGCCGCAAACTCCGGCGGCCTCCAGAAGTCGGCTGGTAGACTTTCGGCCGTCGTGCCGGAGATCCCGCTCAATTTCCAAGGTCGTGGCCATGGACGCACTGCGTCGGACTGAGTCGGACCAAGCTTGTTGCGTTCGAGGATTTGTTCGAGAATCTTTGTCGCCATTCAGCTGGTGTCCGACTCGGTCTCTAGATTTACGTCTGCATAACGTATGGGTCAGAATGAATCAATTGGAGCGCTCTGCCCTGCAGGATGGTATCCAACCTCTCCTGCTATGTTTATTCCTAGGGAAAGAAGGAAAGATGAGAGACTTCGGGAAGAACTGCGATTGCCATAGTTCCCTCCAAGTCCATCATCGCCTTGCTACCTATGGAAATTCTGTTAGGGTGGAAAATGTGGCAACAAGGTGGTGACAACGAGAGAGAAGATCGGTTGAGAAAGGCCTCGGAGAAGGTAATATAGCAAGAAGCGCCTCCCATCTTACACGAAGGGCACAGACTGCGAGAGATTATATCCATTGTCTTTCGTCTTTACAGGGCGTGTCCTAGTTCCCCGAATACCCTAGGTCCTAAAACTATACCTTTCGTAGACGGGTCGTGTGAAAGTTTTCCACATACTCGAAGAGAGAGAGAAACGCCGACCAATCATGCGCGTAAGTACCCAATGACCGCGGGGGCCCAGAAACAGGACTGAGCACCCGGTGACGAGAAAGGATGAGGAGGGTCCACCGCCTCAGGTATTGAGGACATTGCCACACCCGCCAAGTAACGAGCACACACGCTCACGCTGGAAAGGGAAAGAGAAAAGGGTGGATCCACCATCCACAGATTTTATTCCAATATAAATTCGAGAAACCCGGAATTCTTGTCAACATAGCCCAATTCGAAAGAAGTGCAAAAAGAAAGACGCGGTAATCTGAGACCTCGACAAAAAGACGCTACACTTCAAGTTCGGGATATGGAACTCTCACAAAAGTTCATATTCTATCGGGTTTGGCGGGAGGGGCCTTCCCCCCTTAGTTTGATGAATAGTATGGTTCGCTATTTGCCCAAGGTAGCATCGAGGTCTCACCCATACCATTCATTAATCAGAAATATCAAAAAACAAATAACTGGTTCCCCCCCTGGCTGCTGTAAGATTGCTCGAGAACCCTCCCCACCCGGGGGGAGGATAGGAGCCGCAGCACCCATGGGGAACTGGTTAGAGGGGGGAAGGTAAGATATCTAGACGCCAAACCTAGAAAATGAACTTTTTGCTATTTGGGATGTGTATACGTATATATACTATTCGATTCCCAGTCTAGATCAATCTTTTTTTATGCGTACAGATTATATTAATCAAGTAGTTTCAACCAAGTTCCAGAGACGACTACCTGATGAGGTCAAAGAAATCCCTCAATTGCTCTGCCTGGAGGGCTGGCATAACCTGCACAAGATCGATGAGAGAAACTGACATTTTATTCTGAGAGCTGTTTTTTCCTTCTCCTTCGATGGCTTTATCATTTCTTTTAATTTCTGGGGTGAGGGGATTCATAAAGCCCACGCCCGACCTGGTCTGACTGCGGGAATTTCCAGCGTTCTGCCCGGCAGCAGGTGCTGACGAGTTTCCGTTGCTGGTTGCGGCATTGGCCTCCTTCTCTGCCAACTTGGACATGCCCTTCGGAGTCTGACGGTGTGCTCGACACCTTGGTCTGCAGAACGATGAATCGACAGTCTATGGGTAGGAAGGTCGTGCCTTTCTTACATTAGAGAATCCTCCAATACATTCTGCAGAGATCTGGAAGAGAGCGGAATGCAAAACGAATCACGACGCATTTGAAGGAGACTTCCTTTGCCATGTCTTGAGAAGCAGTGGATTCAAGAGCAAGGAAAAGTGGATTTCCCTCCAGCAACTCCAAAAAGCGGGCACTCGTTACCAACCCGGCGTGACATTTGTCAGGTTTGAGGCGGGAGGACGCAGATTTGAGCGTCGCCATTTCCCTCCAGCCCGCTCGTTTGCCGAATTCAGACACATCTCCATCTGCACACGGACACAGGCCTGGTCAACAACGGCATCTTCGCTCTCCTGGCTTCGTTTCTGCCTCATCCACAACGGAGACCAGGGTGGAAGTGTTGAGTATGGATAGCGGCTGGCGCGAGGGATTCATACATGTCGAGGAGATTGCTGGACGCCATGTTGACCAACGCAGAACCAATGGCGCAACTGACGCACTCCTGGATGAAGCGGTGGTGATGTCTCCAGTCTGTGCGTCTCCCTTCGCTCCCTCTGGCTGGTCCAGCGACGATTTTTTTCAACTCCACCAAGAACCTCGGGGTGGGACCAGTTTCTGGAATGGGACGTGTTGTCGTCTTGGTCGGCTCACGGGGGAGAAGGAATGAAGAAGGACGTAAAGAATTTTGGTTTTGGTGCCAGATACGCCTCTTCATCATTTCAAGGCGGAGGGCAGATTCGGCTTGATGAGCTCGGATGACTGCAATGAACGGAGTCCTGCCTCTCGTGCGACCATGGGGATCGCCGCCATATATATACATTATTCCAGCATGATTCCTTGGTTGCTTCCCCCTCACGGTGTTTCCGCTCTCTGCTCTTCGAAATCACCACTCTCCCAATCCCAAGATGGACAATGACATCTTCGAAGACCCTTCCAAGCGGCGTCCACGTCCAAAACGACTTGCGCAGATTTAGACAATGGAGGCCACGCCGGGGCAAAAAGATGCCACAGGCTGCGAGCCGCTGAGATGCGACCTTATTTCCAACATCGTTGCTGACGTCGACTGTGATGGTACTCTGAAGGCCTTGGGTAAGTATACCAGCCGCATCTGCTATTGATACAAGCCGATCTCACAAAATATCTGACACGAAGCCAGAAATTTCCACGACGGACACAGATACGTCCAACGAGCGCCAGTGCAGTATCACTCCCGACCTGTGTAACTGCGACCATTCTATTGTCACTGCAGCTTCAGTGTTCGTACTCTTTCGATGGCCGAAGATAATGACGATTCTGCGCCCGAGGGGAGATGAATTAGATGAGAGAATGCTTGACCATTCCGGGCACGATAGATGGTCTACTAAGCTCATGAGTGATAGACACCGCCAATTCAATTCTCCACACCGAATCAGGTGATGACGTGCTGAATACAGACACGGTACAAAACGAAACGCCAGACTGGCGAGGTGGAAGGTCTTGGCTCAAAAGCTCAGCCATCCGGAGAAGAGGGCAGCTATGTGGAGACTTGGAGTGAGAGCTTGACATATAGAGGACGCAATGATGAGGCCCGCGACACGAGTGAACAGCAATGCCAACACAACAGCTGGAGAATATATGCCAAAGGACGAAACGACCGTAAGGGCAACTCAGAAAAAAGCAACAACGGGACCAAGGCCAGAGAATTATTGGCGAGCTTCAACAAGGATTGTTGAAGCTGGCTGGCCGCCATCCCGAGGAATGTACCAAAGAATGGAGTAGTGGCATGTCGTCCGAGTTACCCTCAGATGAGTCGGACGCGAGGACAGCTGAAACTGGCCAGACGCTTCAGTGTTGGGCGCTTATCCCGCGCTTGCCTCTCGCTATTGCCCAAGATCCTTCAAAGTTGTCAAACCGTTGCAAGACCATGTTTAGTGCTCGTCCTTGGATCAAAGCAATATGCACCAATGAGGATCATATCAACATGATCTCCCAACGTGGCCACTTGGGCTGTATATTTATAATTCCTCCCTTTGGTATAACGTAGCCTGGATTGCCAGTGGATTGTCGTTGACAGGGTGTGGCAACAGGAGTAAGTTCTGGCACCAGGAACACCTGTCGCATCCACAGGTGTCAGCCGCCATCTTGCGTTGACCCTAGAACGGACGAATATTGACCTCCCCTTCCATCCCTGGGAGCGGACAAGGGACCAGAAGTGGACGCTTCACATTGACAAGGGCGTGCTCGAGCACAGTGGAACAACCAACTCCTCATCGGTTGGTCTGCAATCGGCGCCTGACTGCCATGTAATGCAGTCAGATCCTGGACGGTCTCCATGGTTGCAGACCGTTGATCGACCGAGGAAGAATATCCTCGAGATCCTTAATCGGCTTGCGATGCACAAACTTTCGCTTCTCGCCAATTGCACGAAGCTGCGAGACCATCGAAAAGGCTCCAAAGTCGCCCGACGTGTGTCTTCAGGGTCAAATCCAGTTCCTTCCTTTGTGCCTTTCCGTCTCCTTCTGGACGCAATTTGATAAGATGTCAGGGTATCTACCTAGAAGATGAACTATCCTCAGATCTCGAGCTCTGTAGTGCGGCACCGTCGAATTTTCCTGGAGCAACAATGATTGAAGTGCCAAAAGCTTCGACTGCTGGATCATCAGTGGTCTCAATTAGATTTTCCGGTCGATAGCGGCTTCGCTTGAGATGTCCACTTTGCGTTTCTGCACGCCTTAGGAGCTCCGGCGTGGGCTCATCGCGACCGATTTTAAGGTCGACCACCCCCATAGTTTCAACGCTTGGCTGTTTGCACATAATCTCTGGGTCGATCGGTATTTCTCCCCCAACAAACTCCGACAAGAACGATCCAAGAGAGTGGCCGTCCTCTTGACTTTCAGGGATTGCTTGGAAGAAGATACTCAACGCAGGGGCCTGCAGGGTTTCAGCGCTAGAGGAACCGTCAGATTCACCGCAAACGCTGCCAGCTCGTGACATGCACAGGGAAGTGGAGCCGTCAATCGGTGGCGCAATTTTGATGGCACCCGTCAGCCACCCGCGGATGTCATGTCCAAATCCAGGGTTGGATCGTTCGGCCACGTTCAATCGATGGGGTCTTCAGGTCCGCAATCGTTGAGCCCGCTCAAGTTGATGGTCTGACGGCCCTCAGACTTGCGACAGAGGTGTGCCTGCTCCGGTCTGAGGACATTTTGGAGCTAGAAGTCCAGATCCTGGTCACCGTCGACCAAACGTTGGCGTTTTGGGGCGCACCGAGAACTGTGCTGTCTTCTAGGTAGTGCCAAAGGTCGAGCTCAGAGTAAACCGCTAGAGAGCAGATAGGATTTGGGCATGGGATTGGGGACATTGGATACAGGCTCTGGATGTACTTTGGTATACGTCCAGAGAGATGCCGGAGCCAGTCATATCAATCCAACAACTGTATAATCCGCAAGTCGGGAGGAAGTTCCGCGTTACCCAGACAACCACTGCAATATCCTGCACTAGCAGTGCAACGACGGAAAATGACTGGGTCGCACCGAACTGGGACTCCGAGGTGGTCGAGGTGCTTCTGGCGATGTGTCTTCCAGTCTATGTCGCTCGTTACCCACGTGCTGCACATGAAGCAGAATTCGCTTAAGCCAGTCCGCTTCTCGAGAGACCATTTGGAGGACTCGTAGACATGCGTCCATCTGCGTCTCGGCTCGATACTAGGGCGAACTGTCAGGAAAGGGAACCGAGGCCAACGGCGAGGGTCATCCTTACTGTTGAATCTCCCGCCCACAAGAAGGCACCGAACAGCGATCTTGTTTTGGCCATAAGGGTTCCTGGTACGCAATCGGTAATTGCTTGCGCGGAGATGCCCTCTGGGCTCCGCAGCGCTCTCACAAGCGAAAGCGTTCAGGCAAGGCAGTCGCGTTCAGGAACTATGTGACGGACGACGCAATCGAAATAACAACGATGCCAGTGCTATCTGCCGTCAGCAGGGCAGACGGTCTGCACTAGCTGTTGGGTTCGACGCCAATTTTCTACTTCCTCGTCAAGGAGTGCGCGCCGCTGATCGTAGGCCTGTCGCCGTTGAAGCCTGAGCTTTGCGCGAGCATTGACGAGCATGCTGCCTTTCAGTTGAGTCGTGAGGACCGCTATGCGGTCGCAAAGGGCCAGGAAATCGTGTCGACTCTCCAGCACGTCACGTATCCCAGCTAGGAGTGAGTGCGGGAGATCCGGCTCGTGTCGCATCGAAGCTGGGCGGAAAGGTTCCGCAATATTTCCCCGTGGATGCAGGCCTAAGAAGGCCACTGCGCCGTCCCATGTTATCCAGGTAGTGTCCAACGAGAGTCGTTGAGTTTCGAGGTGCGGCGACCTTCATCACTTGCCCCAACGAATAGCCGCCATCTGTTGCAAATTTAGCCTCTGATACGATGAAGAGATCACGAATGGGATCGGCGCACCATCAACCTTGATAAGGACTTCGCGCCGGGAAACGTGTAAACCGATCCCGTCGGGAAAGCCAGCTCTTTGTGCCCACCCTAGACTCTGATTCCCCCAGGCGGTTTCGTTCTTGGCCTTCTTGGTGAGTCCATTCCCTGGTATCTCTGGAAATACTGGTTCTTCTAATGCAGTCCGACCCTATCCCATCAATCTGACGTTTCTGTTCGACGGCGGTCTGGCGCCCAGGAAGACGGCTTCGATGGTCTTGTAGTCTCTGAAGGTGCCTGTTGAGATGAAAATTGAGCGTAGGAACAGGAGCCCATGCGCAGACAGCGGAGGATTAGGTTGCAGCCTCTCGTACATAGGATGTCGGGGTCTTTGCATGTAGAGCCACGTTTGCGATGAGAGCCAAAGCCCAGTGACGTGTAGCCATCACCTACCTTTTGGGGGCATCCTGCATGCCTTTCACATGTTGTCGTTTGAAACCTAGCTTGATTCCGGCTCACCATCTCTCCACGCGACCATGCAGATGAGGCCCTGGAAGACACTCTCAGCATCAAGACCCTCGCGTCAAGCCCGCCTTGATTTCAGACCTTGCACTTTGCCTTGCAAACTTCCTGTAACCTCGCAGAGGTCCAACAGGACACTTTCAATAGCGCACAATAGTCCACCCGACTTCCTGCGTGGTGGTAATCGTGGTGGTCGCTTCGCCAAAGGTGCTCCTCCATAATATCATAGTTTTCGGTCGTCAAGTACATTCTTCAGTTCGTTTTTGATGCACTTCCTTACGTTAGCAATACAGAACTTGAGGGTGTAGAGCTCTCGTGAAAGGGCTTTCTTCGGGACACTTCCAGGGGCCATCGAGTCGTGGACTGATTGCTGAATCTGCAGACCATTCTCCCTCTGCCACGACATAATAAAGCCTCGTATCTTGCACCGTACCGACTTCAAATTTCCCCGGTTCAAGTCCTTGTCGAGGCTTGCGGGCGTCGTGCGTGCAACTGCTTCCGCGAAGTGCTTCATTCAGTCCGTCTGCCAAGCATCGGCGTCTGGTTATTTCCCGACGTACCTGACACTGGTCAGTATGCTCTGACAAGCTCAATTACTCCTTCTTGACAACACACGCTCCCTGAAACTTCATGAATGTCGTGTTTTAGCTTTAGTAGTCTTATTAGCGAGCGGGTTGTGAATGGATTTGCCGCGGATTCCAGATCTGTCCTCTCAAAGCCATCTTCAAGGCAAGCTCCAGCTGTTCTTCGGCACTCAGTCCTTTCCGCCCCCCATTTTCCCGCTTGGTAGTCATTTGGGATTGTTTCGGACAAATCAGCGATCCGTGCCCGAGATAAGGAGGGCAAATCCCTCCCCCCTGGATCCCTACGGAGGGAAGTTCGGAGAAGGGAACAGGTTTCACACGATCAGACCGTTTGACGAGTAGGCATTGGACGGGATGAGACACAGGTGGGGAGCAAAGAAGGGAGAAGACCATGAGGACCTTAGCAGCAGGATCGGGAGTACTCGTGAGAGTCTTCGCGCGGGAGGCTAGAGACTGGCGGGCAGTGACACTGTATCACGGTCTGGCACTAAGTCAGCGACCTGGCCAAGCGTTACGAGGCTAAACCAGAGCTCGTCGCGGTGACGCACGCAGGAAATGTCGTTGCTGTGCACCGCAGACTCTTCTTGGATAGTCCTTCGTACTCGAATTCATGCCATAATTGCACTCTAGAGGGCTGTGATCAGCCTGCTCAGATTGCCTCGTGACACACTGGAAAAAGAACAACTGCTTGAAGGCATGAATTGGACCACGATGCATTCTCAGGGCCCCTGACCTTGTTTCGGTCCCTCGCCATGACTTGACAATCCATGGAATGGTTGATGATCAGGTCCAGGCTGGAGGAGGGTAGGCAGAGTCTTGAGGACTTGAGCTGTACTTGAGCCGGAGGCGAGGCAGCCTGAGTTAAAGCGGCAGGAAGTCGCCAGCCGGGCTCAGTGTCACGGTGGTAGAACACCAAGAGACCTTGGTCGTTTGACCTTGATCGTTTGACTTGACGTTTGCAATCTGGATCGTTTGCAATCTGATTTGCTGTTGATGATTCAGAGGTTGAGTCATATATGAAGCTGCACGCGCATAGCGTGACGGAGAGGATCGCTGCTGCCTCTGCTCAACGCTCTAAGGTATAAATATTCCTGACCTCGTAGCTCCTTCCCACCACCTCTCGACCACTTCTCGGCCACGTCTCACATACATATCTCTGAAGTTGCACGGCTCTCTAACCAGCTTTTCATACGACGTTGATCAGATTCTCAACCAACTCACAACAATGAACGCCCCACAGTCTCGCGTCGATGCCCCAAGCCACAACGACCTCAAAGAGGCCCTTTGGAGTAAGTGTTGGTTGGATCAGAATGATACCTACCTATGCTAACTCGGTGAAGTGCTGGAGATCCGAATGCTTCGACGCATCCTCGAACTGAAGCGTTCAATATATTGGTTTTTGGATGAGGAGAACTCATATGCATTGAGGGAGATTGACGAAGAAATAGAGTATGATATCCCCTCCTAAGGTCCCCCTCTTCCCACAAGGCTCACGATTCGCGATGTATCATAGAGAACTCAATGACCCTCGAGCATATTGGCCTTGGCGCTTGGACAATGAGCTCAACGCGCATCAGCCCGACGTCCAGACCGGCGGCGGTAACATCAGTGACAATCACCTCAATGGCAGCCAAGCTAACGGCAATGACCCTCATGACAATCACACCGCAGTCAGTGAGCCCACGTTCTCGGGTACCCTTGTCCCAGCGGCAATTCACGGAGGTCCCACAAACCGAATTGCCCGATTGACCGAGGACCAAGTCAATGCCATCCTTGAGGTCTTGGAGCTCCCCACTGCAGGAACCCCGGCAGACAAGAAGGAGACACTTCGAGTGGCACTGGGAGCTCCGTTTGTTTCCCCGGACGGAAACTGATACACAGAGCTTGTTGCGGATGGTTATGGGGGAAGACCTCGCTGAGAGCGGAATCAGCAAACGGAGACACCAATTCAAGTGACTGAGTACGGGAGCATCAGCAGACTGACAGAGTACTATTGAGGAAAAATGACCTCACTGGGAGCGGTATCACAAAATGGATACACTAATGGAAGTGTCGGAGTAGGAGGGAATTCTTGGCTGTTGAACGGTATCAGCGAATAGATACATACACTAATGCAGAATGAACACATCAATGGAACTCATTGACTGACAACTGTAGTCTCAACTCTCTCCCCTTCCCCTCCCTCTCCCTCCCCCCCTTCTTTTCGAGCATGCCTGCATTGACCTGGCAGAGAAAACAAGTCGCCCCCCAATTTGATGGAGATTGACCAAGGATGGGCGTCCACGTGATGACCCTTTTGGACCTGGTATATTCTTTTTCTACCAAAACATGTTCCGCGTACGAAGCCCAAGATAGCACCGGATACCTAATTAAGCTCCCCCGGCTGGCTGCAGCGCTTGACCGAGCCTGTGTCTGACGATTCTGGAGTCTCCAGGCCAAGAGGCGAGCAAGCCATTCCCGTCTCGCGTGGGCATGCTTGGTACAGGAATTGATCAGACAGACACATGAATTGGTCCATCGACAGAAAGAGACCGAGACTAAACCAATTCATACAAAGCGACATCAATCATCTGATTACTAAAGGCGATGAAGAGCAAGGCGTGCTCAGACATCAACCACCCAACAGCCGGCCGAAGGGCCCGGCGGCTAGTAGCCCCAGCCTAGGTACCGTACAAGCGTTGCGGATCAACATGAACCACCCGCACACCTGCAGTTGGGGGGCAGGTTCTGGGGCCCCAATTTCTGCTCCCTTCAGCAAGAGGATTCTCATGACCATCCGTCCATTGGCCCGGGGGACGTACCGATGCGACTCCTTATCAGTGGAGGCGCATGGGATGGACGGGTTCCTCGTTGGTTGGGTTGGTTGACCACAAGAAATTCTGGGCAACAAAGGGCGAGCCGTGTCGGCGCTAGCTGGAGTAGCGACCAATAGCGTTACGCCACATGTTCAATGCCCGGAAGGAGCCCCGAAAACAACAGCGACGCGCCACGACCTCGTGCAAGAGTCTCCACAGGTGATTGGGGTTATAGGGTTCGGTGAGGTCACAGCAGTTATGCTTAGCCAGAGCCTCGGCGATTCCATCTCTTAGATACCCAGATACAAATCGCAATCGATAGAAACAAGCCTCCATATGTAACGCTTTGCTGCAAAAGTGTAGACGATTTAGCCGAGCGAAGTTTGTATGTTCTCCGGAGGCGGTGTATATCGCTAAAGAGTTGTTTGGTGTCTGTATATTGTCCAATCCAACACTTGTTTATCACTGGCCCCAGGACCAAATGGCGAACAGACGGGAACTGTTTCGAATGGAACAGACTTTTAATATCTGACAACGGCTTATCGTCGTAGGGTTCGCGACCTGTTGATAACTCGTAAAGGAGGCTTCCGAAAGCGAAGAGTTCGGTCTCAGTGCTTGGGTCATCACTCCAAGGACATTGGGCTCGATATCCTGCAAAGACCAGTGGTTCTGAGCCATCCAATGATGATCCTGCGAAATCGCACAACTTGAGATTGGAGCGAGATTTATTGATCAAAACATTGTGGGCTCCGATGTCGACATGGTACACCGCTTTACTGTGCAAGTACATATACCCTTCCGCGAGTTGTTCAGCGAAAAGTAATATATGATCGTCAGATAATGGTCGCGCTCTGGGTTGCCGGAGAAACATTCGTAGGGACATGTCCATCCTTTCCAGGATAAGCAAATTTTTTTCCCCCTGAGAAACATGATACACATCGACAATTCGAGGGTGGCGCCCGAGGCGAAGGTATACAGCGCATTCGACGGAGTGGAGGTTTAGATCATCAGGCTTCGGGACTTTAACAACAGCATTCGCATCCAACTCATGAATAAAACTCGATGTACCACCTGTGAGCAATGTATCTGGTGACGCACGAAAGGAGGTGTAGTTAATTGGCTCGGTCGCCATCATGAAAAGTAGAAATGCTCAGGAGTTGCATCGAGTCGAGAATATGGAATATTGTTTACACCGCCGGAACCTTGAAAAGACCGTAGCTAGTCCTAACTAGGCAGCTTTGCCGGATTCAGCTTTTTCCCAGCGTCCTAAGTCGAGCCTGAACCCCGAGGATCAACAGATGAGGTTGAAGTTTTGTGAAGGTTTCCGTCGTCATCAAAATCATAAACGCTCTATTTTGGTTAGGAATTTTCCATTCGTGAACCAAAACTATTCTCACATATGTATTCAGCGACCGACCGGCACATCCTGGGCATTGACCCTTCTTTCTGGTCGATGACGGAGCTACTGTAGGGGCGTGCCCTGCATCATAGCAGACTATTCCACCACCTCGGAGATGGGAACTGGTACAACGCTGGAACTCAAGCTGGGTGATCATATGGTCTGTACATGTTCCGTAAGTTACGCGATGCTCGATGTAGTGACACATATTGTGAAGGCTGCATCGTTTTCCCCAGAAAGACTTCCAGCTCCGGTTATATTGCCCCTCTCATAATGAGGGGTTGAGACTCTAATTGGACGATTCAATCAAGAGTCTGGGAAATTATTCTGGTGGGAATTATTCGGGAGAAAGTAGAGAAACCAGGCTGTCAAGACGAATCACGGTAGTTTCTGGCACGAAATAATCCGTAATTGTGTTTGATCTCATCACAGTTCTCATTGGTCACTTTGTGGAAGAGACTTTACTGTTTATAGAATGCCAAGGCCTGCTAATTTCCCCCACTTCTTCCGAAAAAACAACATGAGAGAGTTTGGAGGAAGCCGGTTTTGCCAATCTCTGTACGAGGTACGAGGGTACACAACATACTCATTGCTCGGAGCCAGCCCCGATCACCTACGTCATTCGCTACTACCACGTGCAAGAGTCCTCCCGATTGATTGGGTCTACCTCGTTTAGCGTTACACAAACAAGCTCAGTGCTCGGAGCCAGCCCCGACCACAAAAGTGACCTTTTTCTCCCACGTGCGAGGTTCTCTACGAGTGATTGGGTCTGCAGGTACTAGCGTTACACAAGATGCTTGAATCGATCCCGACCACGAAAGGAACTCGTCACAGCCACGTGCGAGAATTTCCTTGGGTGATTGGGTCTGGGGGAGCGTTTGGTTGTGAGGGCGAGAAAAACGGCTGCATTATGGTCCCCCGTCAAGAGCGCCATTCATCTCATCCATCAACCGTCCCCCGAAGCAGCAGAGCCAGAGCGTCGAGTCCAGGTAGTGGCCACAAAAACGCGTAGGTAGGTAGTGCGCGTGTGTGCTTGTCATGCAGTGTTGCGTCGAAAGACTGGCCGGCACTGGCCGGCACCCAGGAATTCCCCGATGGTTCTCTGAGAGATCACACAGGGCCAATTCCTGGGGAGGAACCAAGGTTCGGTGAATAATCTCTCCGGCCGAAACCCGTCCAAAACGTTGAACTCACTCTCGGCAAGGGGAAGAAGCTTTCTCTCTCACACACTCTTCCCAGGCCGGCCGGTAAGCGAGAACAGGCATTATTCGGCGGACTTCAGAGGGACGGAGAAGATATTGAGGAGAAGAGTTGAAGGGAAGAGCCAGGACTTTTGAGATCCGGTACAAGTTCAAGTTTGCATGTGGCCGCCATTTAGTTTTCGACGGGCGTTGGTTCTATGAGTACCGAGTACCGATACATTGACGTACTGGCGAGGACGCTACAGAGTAGGTAGAGTTCAACTTTGTCGCTCGCTTCCGTGGCCCATCAGCGCCCCCAAGGTTAAGCTGGCGCCAGCGCCGGGGCCTTGGGTGAGGATCTCTTGGTACTCGGTACATCCTACCAAACAGCAAGCCAATGCGACACAAGTTACACAACCAGGCATCCCCACCCCTGTTGAAACAAGAGAAACCAATCCCTCTCCTGAGTCCTGACTCGGCCCATCCAATCCTTTGCATTGTGTCCGTGATCCCACCCGAGCCTATATCTGGGTCATCCATCCCCCAGCCGGCGAACCTGCGACTCCACACCACCAACGCTTCGCTAAACAAAGGTACTCATACGATCTGCCGAATCGCAGAGGCGCCGTGATCTGGGAGGACCGATTAGCTGGCACCACCGGAGCACAAGGGTGGGCGATCTGACTTACCATTCGGGCCACCCACTTATCCAAACCTAACCACTAGCGACAGCAGGCTCTTGGGGAAGAGAACCGGGAGCCAGGTTGATGTTCTGGAGTTTCACCAGCGTGCCCGCAATCAGGTCTTCCACCTGGAATGTAAAGGGCTTGGGGTACTCCATGAGCTTGCATTTCCCGCTGCCATCCTCCTGCACGCTCCAATCCATCAAGGTCCCCGAGATGATTTCTCCTCCCTCCGCGATATGCCCATCTTTGGCACAGATTGTGACGGGCCCGCTGTAACAGGTGGGCAATGCTTCCCACAGAACTCGTTGATTGTCGCCGGTGGGATGGCTGAGCTGCCGAGTCGACCAGGAGGTGACACCAAAAATCAGAACTGCCAAGCCCCGCTGGCCGTAGTCAAGGAAGGAGGGGGATCGCTTAACAATGCTGAGCATCTTGTCCGCTCTCCCACCATGGACGAGGATTTCCCGCTCGCCCGCCGTGAGATCCTTGATGTCGATAGCCATGTAGCTTGGCCACCAGGCTTGAACAAAGCGAACGTCCGGCGGCCCGTCGGACTTCTCTGTGAAGTCGAGGAAAGGTTCGAGCATGTCGGGAGTGGCCATGGTGATGATGATGATGATGATGATGATGCGTGACTGTTGGACTGGTCGCTTGCCGCTGAAGCATCAGGGCCGAGCTTAGCTCCAGAACTAGAAGCTGAAGGTTTGTTGTCCATGTGGGCCAGCCGAGAGGGTTTATATGTGTCTTGGACTCTTGCTGGACGGCTGATGGATCTCCAAGCAAGGGAGGAATCCGGATATGCTGAATGCAAGGGATGGCCAATATTCCACCCACCATTTCTGGCCCTGGGGGGTAGGATACGAGGCTCGGTGCATCGACTGGAGCACTGGATCGTAGCTAAAGGGCAGATCGACGGCCTGGATCGAACAAATGTCGGATGCCTATTACCCGGAGATCGGTCAGAGGTTGGGAGCATCTCGTACGGTGCAGCCCCCGCTACTTTCAGGCCATCCTGCTTTCTGGCCTTCAGCTCTTGAGCTTCAAGAGTTGCGGCCAGCTGACACCCACGTTGCACCACCTCTGCTGGCTATTGGACAATCACCAGCAAGAGGGCACGCTGGAGTGGTCGAGGTCTCAGCCTCCAGGGGGTGTCAAGGGGGCACGGCACGGCTGAATGGCTCGATGAGGCATGGTGAAGTTCGGATGGCTGGAACCGAAGTGAGGAGAGCAAATCAAACATTCCCACCAACACGTCAACTGCGCCTGTCAACCAAAGTCAATGCCAATAAGGGAGGGTGATCGGGTCAATAGCAGCAGAGTCTCTGCCTGTCAACCAGGTCTCTGAAACACTTGCGCAGTGGCCAGATTCAGGAGAACCCTCCCGAGTCCCGACCGCTCCTCCAACAAGCAAATGGCTGGCAGGCCACACCGCACAGTCGGCCAAGCATGTCCAACCCTCTCCTGGAATGTGGCGGCACAGCCCCAACATCGACTAACAGGCGAGATCGAAATTGGCAGCAGAGGGCTCGATGGGTATCGGAATTGCCATTCTGCGAGACTGCGAGACTGCGAGACTGTGAGACTGTGAGACTGTGAGACTGTGAGATCGCAGTCATCGTCGCCCATGAAGAATAGCGTCTAGCAGTCTGCGGGGGCGAGCGAGACACCCATTGTGGGGGCAGATCGCCCATGATCGGATTCTTACCAATGAATGCAAATCAGACTGGGCCTAAATGTTCAACATGGCTCGCTCGGCAGAATAGCCATCTCCACGAGTAGTATCTTGGACCGTATAGGCTTGCACCTTCTCTTATGGTTCTCTTGAGGTCCTCCCGTCGAGATTCCCGTAGTCTTTAGGCGTGAGCTTGCCGGACAGTCTCAAGGTCTTCCTCGCCGTATGTTTCGCGTTCTGCGACGAGCGCTCGCCACCGATGACCACGATGACCATAGAGAGATATCTTCTTCGGCCAGCCGCCAGCAGCCCTGTCCGAGGAGTCCAAGCTCGGTCGATCAATGTTATCGAGCCTCTTGGACTTCATCCTCGACCGATGGGGAAGGGGTGGCTTTCCGAAAGCCGCACCCAGACCCTCTCGCATCTTTGTTTCTGCGTGCCCACTTGACTCGTCTATCTTGAGAGAGGAATTGTGTTCCAAAGTGTGACGCAGAGCGGAATTGAGGGCGAAAGGATTGGGTGCTTGTCGAGGGGTTGAGCGGGAGCAGGCAGCCGGGCCGCAGGCAAGGAAGGGCATTGCGGCCAGGTGCCGCAGAGAGACGTACAAGTTGACCGTGATCCGGTCCGTCCCGCCGTGCTCGCAAGGAGAGGCATCGTGATCGTGGGTGTGTGCGCGTCGTCTTTGTGAGGATGGCTAATTGTCAATCGGTCTGTTGAGGCTTAGAACACGGCGGAAAGCTTCAGAGAAAACCGAGCCCAAGGCTCAAGCTGTGGCTGCCTGCACCAGCTCTAAACAGCTGTGCGACCTCTCAATGGATATATCATGACACCAGTCGCACAGATGAATGTTCCGCATCAAACAACTGGCCTGCTGGGGGAAGAGGAACGGATTGATTCGAGCAGACATGAGACAATAGTTGATCTGGGGAGCACCTTGACAGACTGCGCACGCAGGCCCGGAGATGGAGAAGCGTTGATCCGACAATCGCAGGGGATTTGACACGTGACTGGCCGACCGCGTCGCGGCCGTGGCAGTCCAGTACGTGCGCACGTGCTCGCGAAACCTGCCTCGCGTTATTAGTCAATGCCTCGGTATCCAAATTGCAGCAACTCTCGCATTCTCACCATCGCAGGCAGCTAGCGCAGGCACGTGACTGCGCCGGTCAATGTCTGCGCCTTTCATTGTTGTTGTCCTGCCAAAACCTTCCACGGAGTCCTTCATACTACAATCCATCAATTCCATCGCTCAAAGCGTGATACGCCTGCACCCGCAAAATCTTCCTTTCATCATGGCCGCGATGTCGAATCCCCCACAGTCAACCAACCAGTCTTGCATTGCAAGTGGTGCAGATCCCTCCGATCCCTCCAACTGTTGCCCCAACCGCCTTCGATCAGGGCCCGACCCGCCGCCGGCCGGTCCCCATCTGCTAGCCAGGCAGAGCCGCTGGCGCGAACACCCAGTAGCCCCGAGTGTCGTATTGACAAGTTCTGTCGCGTTGATGGCGACGTCCAAAAAGACAAAAGAAGAGAGAGAGAGACAAAATTGATCATCCGGCCAATGGTAGAATCCAACTTACAATGTGGAGCAGAGAATGATGGACGTTGAAGTAACACACGATCTTACCACGACCACGAGTTCGCCAATAGACCACCATCCCGGGTGACTGAAGAAAATGTTCAAGAGAATGTCGTTACAAGGGCTTTATACATTTCTCCGACGCCTGATTTCCACCTTTTCCCGAACGCAGCGGTAAGATATTTCTTTGACACATGGAATTCTAGGAGCCATCTTGATAGCATCAATACGAAGCCAGGGACATTTGCCTTAGGGATTAGGTTTGGCGTCATGCTTTTGACTTCAACGATCTTTGATCTTTCGTACGTTGAACCATCTTTCTTTCTCGAGCTGAGACCCAAGCAAAGCTCGATAAATCCTCGCCCATGTCGAGCGAAAGGTGCAAATACATACATCCCGATGGACATGCACTCCAAGATAGCATCCTGTGGTTCTCTCAAGGAGACAAAATCGAGGCGTTGGGGAAATTGCCGAAATTGTTCTTCAGTGACTTCTTCAGGTCTCATACCATTCGTGGCGAGCAGCGTTTACCTGCAACGACAACTTGGTGTTGCAGGTGTCCTCCCAGTGAACTGTTGAGAGCCATCAAACGAAAAAGACTTGAAGCCGTCGATCTCGAGGACGTCGCGAACTATATCCGGACCTAAAAGACGGCTTTTCGCTGTGCCGATTGCGCGGACTTCGACAGGAGTGTCTGTCTTTTTTTTCTTATCGAGTTCGTCTGTGGAAATTCAACTTGGACCCCCGAACCAAGCGCCTTGCCATGCATTCAAAGCCTGTCGAGACCAGGTAAAAGGCGAAAGGCAGGACATGTGCCGGGATTACCACTGAAGTTGGAGATTGGCGGCTAGATGTCAGAGCAGGACAAAAACATTCACACGAATCAAGACAGATTGGCCCTCCACGACACGCCAGCAACGCGGTTGGATGCCACCGATCTCGTCCGGACTGGACTTAGCCAAACTCAGGGGGCATGCATGGGCGTGGTGGGCCAATGGGGGACATGTTGAGGCAGCACAGCTGCTGCTTCCCAATTCAACATGTCTCCAAGGTTCCTCCAGGGATATGAGGCTGTTTAACTCCGTGAGCCACACTGTCTTCCCGGTGAACTCTGGCGGCAACACTCCTCTATCCTATCACACAATAACACTGAATGTGGCTCAATGGTCGGCGACACGCAGAAACGAGACAAAGGGGAGGCGAAGTGCGTCCGACGAGATGGAGAGGAACGGAAGGCTATTATTGACCAGGTGGTGCATCAAGTGATGACCAGTTCGCTGCCTTCACAACGACAAACGATCCCGACTGTTCAGCCAGCGGAATCTCATACAGCACCCGAGATATTGAAAGTCTCCCACTCATCGACTACGAGAATTCCGTTACTGGAAACTGAACAGGTATGGAGTAATCTTTCCATCATAACTTATCACTAATATACTCTAGCTTCAAGAGCAAGCTCCAGCTGAAGATCCAGACGAAGATGTTCCTCCTCGCCCTGTTCGCCGGCTCCTCGATACCTTCAGTCTCCATTTCTACGTCGTTCTCCATGCTACTGTACCTATTGCCTCCTTCATCTAGATGCGTTTCGGCCGCAATCAACCCTCGAGCACCGGAGCGTCTTAGGAAATATATCAAACTGAGGTTGAAAGGTCCCTTGAGGATTGCAACTACTTGGTGGCTGACGCCATACTAATATACGTGTAATCACGTAATTTATCACGTAATCACTGTCACATGATCTTACAAGAGGCTGGCCGTCAAATCCTTCAGTTTTGACAAATTGTCCTTGGACTAGCCGCTGGCTACTGCACTTCCGCGCTATAAGTTGGCTGCAAGGGCTGTACTCTATGTCGCCTGCGCTCTCCAAGCGTGAGGAGAGATGCTGCCCCTGAGGAGGAGTCTTGGGAGCGGTCACCACGGTTGGTCCGTTGCTGTCGGTCTCCTTGCTTTGAACTTGGTCTCCCGCCCGTGCGACACGAGCTCCTTGCCGCAATTGCAGTGTGCTTTCGCCACATAGTTCTCCACTATCTCATCTCCGCTGGAGAAGGACAAAGAGCTCCAGATCCGACGGGACTGGACTTGCAGCCAGAGAGTCCCTCCATTGGAAGTCAAGTCCAACAACTTCGACCTTACTGAAGTCGTTCGGCGTGTCCGAGGCGGAGTTCCAAGAGGCAACCTTGAGGACAACCTTCATATCGTTTGTCACGATCCCTTTGATGTCCAAGAAGTCGTGCAAGAGACTCGATCTTTTGCGACTTTTTGAGATCAAAGGGATCGTGATCTAAGTCACCTACCGACTGAGCAACGGACAGCCTCGGAGTCTGCGACGCTCTGTGGGTCTGCCGAGCGACAAATGCAACCTTTGCAGAACAGGTACGCTGGGCTCACTGCTCTGGTGCCTCCTTGACAACCTGCTACACTGCACTGAGCACCTCCATCAGGTCAACGGCGCCTGTCTCCCATCACGACTTACACGAGAGCAACATCTGCCTCCACTTCCCGACCCCGGCGAGCAGGCTTCCGGACTTCTTCGCTGGAGACCTTGGCACGGCGAGACCGATCGACTTGAGCATGTAGGAGGTTTCCAATAGGGTCGACCAACTTCATTGCCTAGAAGATGAACGAGGGATTCAAGGGCATCGACACCACACTCAATTGCGCCTTTGGCTCTGTCTGGCAAAAACGTACACCAGGAAGCGTCCGACTCGTGACCTGGTTCATACAACTCGTCAACTGTCTTGGGATTCTCTCTTGGAGACGTTTCCATGCCACGAAGAAGCCTCCGAGTCATCGAAAGCATACCACCACGTTTGGGTTCGCCCCTTACTGATCTGACAAGGCTCTTGTGGTTTCGCAAGTGACTTGCCAATATCGTACACACCAGCCCAGAGCTCCTACGCAGGCTCAGAGAACCTCTATGTGAGACCTGACAGGGATAATTGTTCTCCAACGGCTTTCACTTCGAGAGTGGAATGACAATATGATCCACGTATGCATCGATGTCATGGCACTGTCAACTTCACTTTCCCTGGATCCGCAGCCTTGATTTCAGACCTTCCGATGACGTGGCTGACATGCTTCGGCGAGGGATTGTTCAGCTTGGCCGTGATCCAGGTCTGACTTTTAAGAGCAACCAGGGTCAATGATTCGTTCTCCATGAGCCAATGATGCCCTGAACGACCAGGCCCCTTTACTGTATCGCCAGCCCCATCGCCGTCGTCCCTAGACGAAGTCGATTGGTCATCTTCTTATTGCTTCTTAGCGCCATGGCCTGCTTGTGCGTAATGTCTGCAAAGACATTGTCGTCATCCTCAAACGTGGCTTCAATGGGTGCTACGGCAACTTGGAGCTCGGCAATACAATAACATATCTGGACAGGATTAGCGGTTGAAAGTCTCTTCTGAAGCTCTTTCTTACCCTCGGACAGGGATAGCAGGAGAATTTAGGCTGGAGTGGTGATGAGAAACAATAGCAGGGACTGCGCCTGCGAGATGAACATGATGTTGAAGAGGAACATCATTGCTGGCCCAGCATATTCCTTGATGGTGGCCCCGCGGTAATCCTCGCAGTTGAACATGGCGTAGCCACATGCGACACCCGCTGTCCGGATGCACGTGGGTACGATCTCCACGCCCTTCAGAAATTTAACGGATGAAGAGCACCGAAACTCCAACATCCGAAACTACGGCGGAATCGAGATTGAGGCAGCCTTCGTGTTAAAATTTCGTCTTGGTGTATGGATGGAAGACTAGCCGCAGATGGATGACACTCGGATGACGTTGAAGATTTGTGGGAAATGGAAGAAGCAGTCACAGTTGAGACGAGCGACAAGGGGTCCTGAGCGCGAAGATACATCGCGGCGATGAGCGGTCGTGGCTATCGTGTGGGTCGATGAACTGGCCTGTAGAAGTAAAATATGGTGGGGACATGCAATCTGCTTCGTTACGGACAGCGCCAAAGAAGCTTGGAGGTCTCTACCTCATAGTGGAACAATACGATGGTCTTTGGCGTTGGTCCTCATGCCCAAAGCCTGTATTTGTGCAGTATTGTCTGGAACCTTGCCGGCAACGCTTGTCTGCCGCGTGGACGCGAAGAGTAGATCTGGTGCAGATCTGGTGATATCGGGGCAGACACGGCACAGCAGGCATCGATTGGGAGGTAGTCGAGCTGTCATCTGGAGGAAGAAAGTGCACAGGGGAATTGTTCATGTAAGCCTCGTGTGCTCAGCCTTTCTCAGCCTCGTCCCTATTTCAGCCTCGTGTTTGTTTCAGCCTCGTGCTTGTTTCAGCCTTCTTGAGCCGATTCTGTCTAGCCTCGTCCAGCCTCGCTCAGCCTTTTCCTGCCTGACTCAGCCGATCTCGGCCTCGTCAGTCTTGTCAGCCTTGCCCAACCTCGTATGGTGAACCTTATATACTCAGCCTGTACAGCCTTGCCCAGTGTCTCAAAATGTCCGTCCTTCCATTCTTGCGCCGCCCACGGTTTTCCAGGTCTCTGGAGGGCAATCAATAAGGGCTTGAAGGAAATGCGGCGAGGTTGATTGAGGCGCATTTTCCTTCAGCAAAGTGGCTTGCGGGCTGTCTCGTGATCAATGTTATGCCCGGATTGTCAATTTCAGACAAAGAGGTGCAATCCGCACTGTGTCCATCAGCCTTGAACCGTGCGCTACTGATCGGTCAGACATCCTGTTCGAAGGTACGTCGCCGCGATCAGGGAAGTAGCAGCTGAATAGTTATCGGCAGAGGAGCCTTTTGATCGGTTGGATTGCATATCATACCATCCAACACCATGTGGTGTCGTGGTTGATGCACGCTGTCACGCTGGCCATCCTGTATCGGCAATGAGGAGACACAAAACAAGCTGCAGCTACTTTTCGCTCGAAGACTCCCTCCTCAGCGACCCCGACAATGCCAACGCAAGCATCCTATTGACCGGATGGTACTTTTACGCGACAGCCCCGACGGAAGAGGACTCGAGTTATCGCAAGATCAGCCACAAATCAGGGGAAATTATCTGCACGGGCTTCGATAGCATCGTCTTTCAACTAAGGTTGAAGGAAACAAGCCGGACTGAATTACCAAAGACGTAATGGTTCAGTTCGAGGCTGGTGCTCGTAAGTTCGATTGGACAGGGAGACAGAAAGGCAAACGGGGAGAAGCATAGCGGGAGAAGCATAGGGGGCGGAAGGGATCCAAAGGCAGGATATACATACTCACATACTCGGGAATGGTCTCCGCGTATGTCTGCAATCATTTGGGAATGGACCGCACTGGCTGGTACTGGAACAATCCGTGTTCGAATTCAGGATAACCAGAAGAAGAAAGGCTGTGAATGGGGAACGTGCAATCTGCAGTTTCCAGTATTCAGCTTTCGATCTTTGGTGAATGTTTTCTGTTGAACCTATCAATGGAGGAGCCGGCGTGGCGGTCCAACGAGCCAGCACAGGCCACGATGGCAAAGGTGTACAGGATGATATGACGACGTTGAAGGTCGAGTACTTCATTCGTCAGCAAGCCTGAGCCCAAGCCTCACATGAGGCTGACAGGTCGTCGGCTTCCCCTTTCCGAGCCTTCACACAAGCAGGCAGGCAGGCAGAACAGAAGAAAATACCCAGACAGATGACTATCAACACCAAGACCGATGCGACGCCGCTCCCCTAACTCCACCACACACAGATTCCTGAACTTTGCTGACCGCTTGGACGTGGACTGAAAGGGTATGGGTCACTCTGGATACACTGGGTGAATTGATTTGGTGACGACAGAGCGCGGCTCGGGTTGCAACGTGCATCGGTATCTTCGAAACACCTAATCAACCTTGGCATACGAGACTCTGTGGTCGTCAGAATCACATTTTCCGTCGGCCCCGTCCAGATTGTTCGTGATGCTATCGACCTGGTGCCGGATGCTCTTGACACGTTCATTAATACTTGCAAGGCGTTGCTCCAGTTGGCGATAGCGGTCGAGCATTGCTCTGATCTTTTCGAGCTCTGTCGGTTTGGAGGTAGCAGACTGTGGTGAGTCCATGATGTGCGTCAAATAAAAGTGATCGAAAACTGGTTGAAACGGTTGGAAAGGTTGGCTTGATTGACGGGCATTTCGAATGGTTGGAGTGGTCGAAGTGTTTGGAGATAGTTACACCAGTCTCAGTAGTGGTTGAATGTGAAAGGGAGTTGCCCTGGCTGTGACGAGTGAGGCAGCGCGTCCCAAAATGCGAGTCCAGGAACTCCTGGGACACAGTAAACAGAGAGATAGCGCTCTCGTGAGTCGTGCACTGCGTGCGTAGGGTGCACGGGATGCTTTGTTCAAAACGTTTATATTAACAAGCCATATTGAAAAAGAAGTCTTTGGCAGCTTTCATGGTCCACAATGACTCGAATTCGGTGGTGAGAAGACTGAAATTCACTGTATCAGATTGCCTCGTGTCACCACTAGGCGTCACTGTCATGTGTCACTGAATCACTTCACTGCCTCCTTCAACTGCCACGTTCCACGGAGCTAAACATTCTCTTTAACCCACTCCATCTTCTACTAAACCAGAAAACATCTCTCCGAGCAAAACCACCCTTCATCAAAAAGTACTTGACAGCTTTCAAAGCACTTTGCAGATCCCAAATCGTTTGACACCGTCCCTCATCATGGATCCAGCACAACAAAGCACAGATCCATCGAACCAAAGCACGGATCAACCTCCCCAAGACATGCCTCCACCGGAACAAACCAACCTGTTTTACCAGGCTCTCATCCACTTCGGGACCGGCCGAGGAATCGACACCAGGTTCGCCCAAACCCACATCGACACGCTTGAACGTATGACTCGGATGGAGAATCAGATGCGGGAAGTTCAGGAGAAGGTGCAGAACCTGGTGGACCGGGTCAGTGAGATCGAAGACAGGCTTGACAACCTCGACTCTCAGATAGTGGATCTGCAAGGCGATGTGAAGGAGTGCACCAGCAATGACGAGTCTACAAGCTCACGGCAGGATAGTTTGGAAGGAGAGGTTAATTGGCTGAGAGGAGAATGTCAAGGAAACGACAGGTACATAAGCGAGTTTGTCTCGACCCTGGATGACTTGGACGCCCGGGTCTCGAAGCTGGAAGGAGAACGAGAGGGGTCCACCGGATAGATGGAGATGGGTGCACGAGACTACAGTGGTCGACAAATTACCCTACCAAATGAGCGCCTGAGCCAGGAGAGTGGAAGCATGATTGTACGCGCAGAGCGAGCTGGAAGAACGCAGGAGACACAGCTGAATGCGGGCCGCGGGCGAAATTGAAAGTGGGTTGCAATGGATATGATAGCAGCCTGGAGGGGTTCATCACCTTGAGCAGCATGGGAAACCAGAGTCGGTTGAGATCCACGGAATTCAGATCGATTCTTGACATGGAAAATCTCTACCCTCTTTGCCTGGCAATATCTACCGGCATCAAGAGAGTCCCGTGACCTAGCTGGATGGGTTTTATGTGTGTACCGAGTATAGCAAGACGAGAAAAAGTCCCAACTCCTTTATTCCTCAGCTGGAGAATCAGTTTGGCCATGATGTTCTCTCTCATTTCCTTATCGTAATTGTACTGGGAAAACAGCCGACAACTCCCTCACTGGAAAAGCTCTCACGTCCGTGAGGTTATATGGGAATTGATTCCCTTTGGTAGCACATGTGCATTGACATGGTCGAGGAGCCCACGCTCTGAGACTCCTTCCACGAGGCCCGGGAATTCCAAAGCGCCATTTTCAACGTCCACACTTTGTCGGCGGCAGCAGCAACACAACGATGGTGTCATTCAGCACTGGTATCATGTTCATGGAAATCAAACGTGTCTTTGCTGCACGCTGGCCTGTAATGTGTGAAGATCTCCAGCTTGGACGATGAGTCGAAGACCGATCCTGACTCGGTTGGAAACGTGTGATACCCCCTAATGCTTTGTGTGATGTCTTCGCTGAACCAAGAGACGAGGCGTATCGCTCCTAAACTCAAGATCATTGAGGAAAGCTTGCCCCAGCTATTGTCGACCTTGTTGAAGAGAAACAATATGGGGTCAGCTGCGGACTCGTCATGAGGCAGCGTCTCACCCAAGGTTGCACCCAGCAAACACTGTCTCCTCTATTGATCCTGTGTGCCACACGCCGAAGTGTTCAAGGACATTCAGGGATGGCGCGAGGTGGTGGGGTTTTACCAGATTGCTTGTTCCTTGAGCATTTTCTGGTTTCATGAGCTGCCTCGAGGCATCCGACCATCTTCACTCAATTCTCAGGGCAATAGCAGCGTCGTCTATTGGTCACTCACCATCCAGGCCATAGTTATACGATAGCCACCAGGCGCTGGACACTACACCTGTTCGGGACTATAGTAAGCTAATTATAGTACTCCATAAATATCTACGCTATACCTATTTAGGAACCTCGGCCTCCTGCTAGTCAGACTGTACCTAGTCAACGACAAGGTCCTGACTATAGTCAAACGTTACCAGACTAGTCATGACGGATCCATTGACAACTCTGAATCCCTCTCTAGCAGCTCGAAAGTTGTCGTCGTGCGCGAGTTCAAGCAGTTGTGGTGGTGGCGATGCAAAAAGGCATCACCTCCTTGCTCGAAAAACAAAAATAGCCCAACCAATGTTGGGAGGAAAGAGGGTGGCATGGAGACTGCGCAGATCGCAGAGAGTACCCTGAATTCCCCGAAGACATTGTGCTTATTGACCCGTCCATCAAGCGCTGTAGACACCTTTGTCTTTCTCATCACAGTCATTGTTGCATTATTGCTTTGTTTGGCGCTTTGCAAGTGGTATCCATCTTTTGTTTCGGATCTGGCTTTACGGTTTCCAGGATGTGTTGGTCCAGTACTGTAACTTTTGTTTCATTCGCTCCGAGCTTATTTGCTGGCCTCAGACCGTCTGGTAGGCTCAATATTCGGACGGATGATATTGATTTGGCAGGGGTCTTCTTCAATGGTGCCTGAAGAATTTTCCGACTTTCGGATCGACAATGCTTGGAAATGTCTCGAAGCCAGTATCTTGATAGCATTTGAAAACAATCCACGTACCTCAACTATGGTCCACCCGGGGGTTGTGTCTGGCCACTATGAGGCTGTCAGATTGTCTTTGCGCGTATGCAGCAGTGGCTCCGGCTTCCTGACCTCCTCCTTGATTATGTTGTTATTCAGAGTCCCCGAGAACATATGTATCGGTGACTGTCAAAATATCGTCTCGGTATATGGATGTAACAACAGTCGCAGACAGATGACGCTAGCTCGAACGACGTCGAAGATCTGTGGGAGATGGAAGAAGCAGTCACACTTGAGACGAGGGACTCGTATTTAGCGGCCAGTAATTTAGAAGGTGAGGATGGCAGCGCGCTTTGATATGGCGCTGGTGCAAGTGGCGAGCGGAGAGAAGCCAGTAAACATAAGGAGAGATATCTTATGTTCCAGGAAAAGAAGAATTACTTCGGAAAGCATCGAGTTGTTGAAGATTAAGCAGAGTATCATACCAGGAAGCAGCGCTGGTGCACCGTTAGTGCAGGGACACGAAAAAGCGACGGTAGGTGCCGAATTGAAATTGGAATATCCTTTTGGTGAAAGGAGCGTGTGCGAAGCAAGCAAATACACGTTCGCGTGCCAGATCTTGAAATATCAGCCTCGATAGTTCGGGATCGAAATTTTGGTTTTTTCATCACCGACGGTGTGTATCAATCCTTGCTCGCAAGGCTGAACAAAGCCTCGCAGCTTCCTTTGATCTCTGCTCTTTCACTGCCTCTTGCACTATATGCCCTAATTAGAGTCATGCCACAATGAACCAGGCTGGTCTTTGTATGCCCCGCTCAGCACTTCCTGGGCACTTTGTACATATAGTCTGCACTTGCATCCCCACTCTTGACTTCATGCAAGCTTCTCATATAAACGTCGCCGCAACACACGCACATCATGGCATCTCCAGTGACCAACAAGAAAACACTGCTCGGTCTCCCCAACGAAATCATCACCCAGATCATCGATTGCCTGGATAGCGATCCCTGGCCGCACAATCGCCGTCATGTCCGAACATTCCGGGTGACGTGCAAAAGGATTCAGGAATTGTCTGAGAGGGCCTTCTGGCGCTTTCTCCACGTGGCAGATGACCTTCAAGAGGATCGACTCCAATCCATGTTGAAAGAGCGCCCAGAGAGATTCAACCTGGTAAAAACCTTCGTGGTCTACCCGCAAACATATTCGCTCACTGGACGGCTGCAGCTGGATGCCCCAAGCGCCAGTCCGCCTTTCTTTGCACGTGTCGTTCGTGCCATACCCAAATTTCATCAACTCAGGACGTTGCATATTCACTCAAATTTCCAGTACAACAAGCATCTCTTCGCTGCGCTGAACATCGCTCTCGGACGCGCTGATCTTGCGGAGTTACGGGAGTGCACTCTCTACAGTGATACATGGCAACCGGTTTGGATCAACCCTTTACTTTGTGCACCCAACCTGACAACGCTAAAAGTGATGCACCCCTTCCTCGATGACACCGACGACCCACTGCCGCCGGCCCATTCCACGCGATTGAAGCACCTTACAATGTTCTACGACGGCTCGTTAAACCCAGACGTAATCTCGACAATCCTCAGCTTGCCGGCATCCCTAGAGACTTTGGAGCTCCAGTCGTCTCATGGCTATGATTTAACGCGAGATCTCGAGTACCGCTGCGTGAACAATTTGATGGCAGCTATTGGGCGTCATCAACGGCACCTCAAGAGACTCAAACTCTATATCGCTGAAATAGGCGTGTATTCAGACGGTAGCTCCAGCCAGCTCATTGACTATACGCCCATGCGGGGCTTGAAAGAACTCACCTTCGTTGGTCATTGGAATGTCGCGGCGGCACCCATCAATTGCTTCGTCAATTTACCCAGTGGACTCCAAACCCTTGATTTCCATGGGCTTCTCGACTTGTCGGAAGTGGTGCAGGGCCTCATCAACGTGTCTTCGCATGCAATTGTCAGATGCCCACCGTGCGTGAAGATTGATGACGATTATCGCGCGAGGTCGACAATATCTGGTCGTGCGGAGATGGAATTCGCTAGGCCATTCACACGGAATGCGGCCCGGGTCTATGAAAATCACTTGCGTGGCGTGGGTATGTTTCTCACCAATGTGCCAGGAGTCCACGAGCTGCAGCTCACACTCAGAGGTCGCACTACCGAGATACGACTCCGGGCGACCAAATACGGCTCGCAATCCTGTCCGACCCTGCATGCGATTGAGCAAGAGTTCCATCTACGGGAACCCGCCTCCTTCGATGTGTGGTCTATGCAGCACAGACCGCAACCCTTCGGGCTTGACTATGAAGAGCCAAGTCAAGCTGTGCAGCGAGGCTTAACCTCAACGTGGGACTAACTTTGTGTCTACGCAGGTGGAGGCGGCACCGGGAAGGAAGAACAGGCGCGAAGAACGGCGAGCAGGGTTGGGAGGGAAGGGCAGATGCAGGGGGCAAACAGGAGCAAGACTGTCACCAAGGGATCAGTTGGAATTGCATGAACAGTGGACTGGGCGAGGTTCGGGACAAGAACCAATGATATGCGCTGAGGAGAAGTTGACTGTCACGCAGGTCGTAATGTCAGATGCATCTATCCAGACCAGTCACCGCTTTTGGGTACAAGGGTGGAATGGGTTAGACAGCCAGCCCGGCAGAAGCTCAGTGCGGACATTTTAGAGAATCTCAACAAATATGAACAATGATTGGTATTCCGCCGTATCCGTGTGCTCGTTGCGTACTATTCTTTGCTCCATTGTCTCCATGTTTTTGTTGAAGAACCAAGATAAACAGGACAGTGGATCTGATCTGATCTGAGTCCCCATACCAATGTCCCAAAAACTGTCTTCCAGCCATAGCACTGAGATTACCCCGGCGTCAGCTCACTAATTGTGGTGCGAGCTCAACTCTGAACGCTGCTTGCGGCGCCCTTGCACAGTGCTGCTGATCAGTTGCTCAACCAGCCCAACAAAAGAACATTTCTCCATAGTCAACCAAGTTTGATCCTTCGTCGCTTAGCCTAGTCCTTGGACCCATATGTCACGAATTGCTACCCTCAGTGCCCATATGCACCACACCTGAATCGGGTGGGGTATATATAGCAGAAGAAATAGGTGTTGCACACAAGGCTGTCAAGAGACAAGGCTAAGGGCACAAGGCTACCGGGTAAAGGGATACCTAGTGCCTAGTCCACGTGACAGTAAGGGCGGAGAAGCTATAAGAGATAACCCCCTCCCGAATCGGGTAGGAATGATTTCCTCTTACTTCTTAAGCGTTGAGTCGTTATCTATAGGAACTATAGATAGTTACAATAGTATATAGTTTAACTAGTCAGTCCCTACCGTATAACGTAGGTCCTGATAATTCTCAACGCTTACCTTATATACGGTGATACTATTAAAGCTAATAGCGAATTACTAGCGTAGTACAAAAAGACCTACGACGGTAGCCTTTATAGAATTATACTATACCTAATTCTAGTAGGATACATTTCTTAATATATCCGAACCGAATATTATACCTACGGTCTTATCGTAGACTAAGGGCGCGGATCCGATAGTTCCGCGGCCTACCGTCGCTACTCTTACTAATAGCGATTATAGTGCCGGCCTTAAAGATCTATTAGAGGAATAACTAGAAGCTAAGGTTACTCGGCTTAAGATAGAAAGAGCTAGGCGTATAAAGGTCGAGCGTCTACGATATCTCCGTACGGGGAGTAACCTAATAGCTAATTAGGTCGCGACGTAGGAGACTATAACTCGTTCTCGAGTAATCTTATCTAATTCTAGTAAGGGAGTTAAAAGACTAGCTACGGAAGAGTTACTTAGTGTTACGAGTTGACCTTATGGCCGTAGGAGCCAGCTCCAAAGAAGAAGGTGTCCCGACGACTTAGTATAGATACTAGGGAACACAAGAACCAATGGAAGCCGGTCACGTGATAAAGAACCCATAGATATATGCGGCATATTATAGAATATCACAGAGCACGTAGAGCGCGAGAGTATATATGTTACGAACAGGCCAAAAGGACGGCCACAGCACAGGAACAAGGGAGAAGGTTTGCCGAAAGGAGTGACGACACGAGCCAGGGCACGTGATGTGCTCTGTTATGCTCCCAAGGCTGAACAGAGCCACACAGAGCGGCGGGCTCTATTGTGCTCCCAAGGCTGAACAGAGCCACACAGATCCATACGAATCTCCTTTGTCTATATAATCTCAGCACAAGTCCATAGCTTTTAACATAGTCAACCTCAGTTACAAAGAATCGAGTTGTTCTCGGTTACTCGCTTTGCGTATAGCTATATACTATACACTTGGTTTCCGTCTCTGCTACATTGGGCCCCACTGCTATATCACCAAGTAAACCACCTCGGGTTTGCTCGTTGACACCTCACGTGTTGTAAGGCGACTCGTAACATAGTATCGGCCTTTTTTTTTTCTACTATACTAGCTATTAGCCTTTTATTTCTCTTCCGGTTCCTTCCGGCGTCTTTCTAGATTTACTTCTATTATTAATATAGATATCACCTTCTCCTAGGTAGTTTTCCTCGTCCTCGTGCGTGGTAGTCCTCTAATAGGGTCGCGACTCCCTTTATACTACGTTACTAGAGTCGAGTGTTTCTTCTTCTGAGGGTATCTCTCTTCCTTATGGTGTTGTTTTCTAAGTAAAACTTCTCTATCGTGTCCTAGTAACGGGATATCTCGTTATCGTATCGTTATACCGTAGTGATAGAATATCTCGTTATCGTATCTTTATACCGTAGTGATAGAATATCTCGTCATCGTATCTTTATATCGTAGTGATAGAATGTCTCGTTATCGTATCTTTATACCGTAGTAATAGAATATCTCGTCATCGTATTGTTATACCGTAGTGATGGAATATCTCGAAGGGGTGGTGGACGCCGTGAGGGCCCCCTTATATTTAACCGTGGCCTTCTTCTCTAAGAATACTAACCGAACGGGTCTCCTTAGGCCTGAACCTCTACTTCTCTCTTGCCTATACTAGACGGTGGTTAAAATATTATAAATCGAACTATACCCCGTGCGGGTGCGTACTTTAAGGTGGTTCACTAGCTGAGATGGATAAGGTAAGTCTTATAGTGGTGACATTGTGAACCTATACGGTTCGACTATGAACTTAGGTTAACTACGAGGGTCCTCTCTACAACGGGCTACCTACGTATATATATAGACTTCCGCTGTCTAATGAGCATGTGCTCTCGCGCTCTACGTACTCTGTGACATTCTGTAATATACCGCATATGTCTGTGGGTTCTTTATCACGTGACCGGCTTCCATTGGTTCTTGTGTTCCCTAGCATCTGTGCCAAGTCGTCGGGACACCTTCTTCTTTGGAGCTGGCTCCTGCGGCCATAAGGTCAACTCGTAACAACCAGTCAGTCCCTACCGTGTGGCGTAGGTCCTGATACCATACTCGTAACAGATTCACACTTTTGTTTTCCTTGTGCTAGCAACGCACAGCATCACTCTTCATCTCAGACGAGTCCGAACCCGTGCCAGTTCCTGCTCCCTTTGAGACAGCTCCATCTTTCAACTCTCGGTGGTTTGCAGTTTGCAGTTTGCAGTTTGCGCTTTGAGGTTTGCGAATATGTTGAGGTTTTCGAGGTACCGTGGATACAGCCAAGGTCTAGAACCACATCAGCTTGTAACTTTCAGCCAGAAGAGAAAGCCGACAGAGCGTACCAGGAATGGCAGAAGATCCACTATGGTCCATAGCTTGGAGTCCTCGACTCCCAGGAATCAAAGAGCTCGCCTATATCCCTCTCTTCAACTTCATCTTCTTCAAGCTCAGACACGGGATTCCAATGAAAGATCTGGTCCACTGATAGCCTGCTCTCGTCTCTTCGCCCGTAATTCCTCCAGACCTGAAAGATTATCGTCATGCTGTCCTTCTCCTTTATCAGACTCAGCCCGTGGTCAGTTTGGCAATGATAGCATTTGAACTCTGCCCAGTCCTCTTCCCCCTCCATATACATCTCGCTGACCATCACTTCTATCCAATCCCAAATGGGGCCCTCGGGTCTGTCGGTAAGATGGAAACACTGGTCTTCCATGGCGAGGTCGCGGATGACGGACATTTCTGTCCCCGGGTCTGCGCTCACCTTTGCGCAAGTAGCCAGAATCAGTTGCCCATCAACCACTCGTGCCTCATTGATGCGAGAAACACCTTGGTCAAGGCCACCCACGTCGAAGTAATCCAACGATATGCCGTCGTCGCGCAAGGCCAAGTCCACCACCTCACGTGTTATCTCCAAGGAATCGCCTTCTCCGTAGATCCACTGAGTCCATGAGAATTTTGTCTCCTCGCGCGTATGTTGAAGTGTGAACGGACATTCGTAATCCGAGAATGAAGTCTCCTGCCAGACATAGATACGGCCACAGGTACGGCATGTCAAGTACTCCGGGTGCTCGCGTTCCACGAGTTTTCCGAACCGGATGCGTGCGGCCTTGTCACTGATCGTCAGGTCAAGTCGGGACCAAAGAAGTTTATGAAGTTGTTTGCAGGAAAGGCTTAGGGCGAGGCGCGACTCTGGGTCCAGAAAATCCGTTAGTGTGAGGATCAGCTCGTTGGGAAGACCGAGGAGTGGATGATTTGATGGATCTTGTTGCTCTGCCGCTCTGCTGTTGGTGGTGTCCATGCTGTTGGTGGTGTCCATGCTGTTGGTGGTGTCCATGCTGTTGGTGGTGTCCATGCTGTTGGTGGTGTCCATGCTG